CAAAACACATAACTAAAAAAGGAATATATAACACAACTTTTTTTGTACAGTATGTAGCTCATCAAGCCAATTAACTCAACCAGGGTATTTCCTTTGGAGGGGGGGGAAGCCTGCACTTGCAGAGGCAGGGAGGGGCTGCATTTCCCAGGGAGGAGGAATCCCTGGGCTTCCCTGCCAGAGGGGCCTCTCCTGCCTTCCCTCCAACATGACAAGATCCCAAGAAGCATTAGGCTCCGGTGTAGGTCTGTGCATGAGGTGAGGACTTTCCCAGAAACTAGATCCCAGTTGGGGCCTTGAAGGTGGCTGAAAATCAGCCTTCCACTCCAGTGAAATAACAAGGAAAGGCCCTGGTCACTGGCAACATCCCAGAATTTGGCTTTCAAAGAAGCCTCTTCCACTCTCCATCCCAGATTGTCCACTAAGGTGAAAACAGATGGAAATAAAGGGGAGGCAGTCCATGATATCCAGAAGCCTGGAGCCGCTCTAGACCTTTGCTGGCTGAGGAATTCTGTGAGCTGAAGTCCACAAGTCTTAAAGTTGCCAAGGTTGGAGACCCCTGCTGTGGACCAGCGGTCACCAACTGGTGGTCCGGGGACCACTGGTGATCGGCGAGTAAATTTTGTTGGTCCGTAAAAAAATCTTTGCATTTTTTATATTGCACTAAATCAGGGATCCTCAAACTATGGCCCCAGGGCCGGATACGGCCTGCCAAAGTAATTAATCCCACTCGCTGATGGGATGGGGTCCTTCAGGCATTTAGCATGGCTGCCTGTTTAGTAGCTCCAGCCCCTCCCTCCCTCCTTGGGAGTCCAGGTGCTTCAGTCAGCGGTGCACGAAACTTCAGCCAGGCTCCTTGAGAGACAGAGTTTGCAGGGAGAGGCAATCTAGCACCCGGGCTGGCTACAAGACAAACGTTCATTCTTGGTCGTATTTGAGATTCCTAGCTGCAATGGACAGCAAAGCTAGGGTTGACCTCGGGCGCTTCTCTTTGCTAACAGGCGGCCACGCTAAATGCCTGAAGGCCCCCATCCCATCCCTAATTCATATTAGTGGTCCACGGGATTTTAAAGTTATGAATTTAGTGGTCCCTGAGATCTGGAAGGTTGGTGACCCCTGCTCTGGACAGTCATACAAGAATGGTGTTTTCAGAGATAGCCAAAAATTATCCCGTTCAGGATTTTTTTAAAAAAACCAAAGTCCTCCCTACTGTCTTTCTAGTGAAGAGACTTCCCTGCTTCTTACCCATTTTCCTGACAATGGTCTTGAAAACAAAACCAATAATTCTCCCTCAGTTGAGCATCTCTTCGTAAATTGTCTCTGTGTTTTCTGCCACAGCTAAGTGCAATGGATCCATAATCTCCCTCTGTTTTTTTTTAAACCAACCTGATTCAGATTCTTCAATAGGCCAGCTTTGCTTAGACATCAACATTGTGTAAAAAGCAGAATATACTTTCTGTTTCCTTTACAGAAGCATCATTACTGCAAGGGAATATAATATGTGCACTAGAGACAAAACTACATTGAATCCTGCAGCTGCTGCCAGTCAGAACAAAAGTCCCTTGTGATGGCGATCCTGGAGGATTCCTGGCTATCAGTAGAAGGACCATCCTATGTTGGGCTGCTGGCTGATAGGGGAACAAGGTCCACAGTGTTTAGGCCTCTGAAGAAGAGCCACCACATGGAACCAGAAGAATATACCACAAGCAGAAAGACCTGGGAAGGTTCGGCCTAGAAGACTCATCTATACTACAGATTTAAGTCTACGCTGCATACAAGACAATCTCTGCACAAAGTTTTTAAAAACTAACACAAAAGAGAAAAGGAAGCGGCTGAGAAGCAAGCAAGCAACCACTTCTCCAATGTTGCTGATCACATTAGTTATTTTGGAGAACAGTTGAGTTTGTTGTCCAGTAGAGGGCAGATCATATATGTACTGCATATACTCTGCCCTCTACTGGACAAGCAACTCAACTGTTCTGTTCTCCAAAATAACTAATCCAGTAATTAGGATGTTTCTAGAACTCCTTCTGTAACGTCAGCATTAAAATTAAAACTTGGACCACACGTTTTCTGAATAGTTTTTATCCCAGAGCAGTGGTGAAATCCAAATTGTTTAACTACCAGTTCTGTGGGCGTGGCTTGGTGTGGCTTGGTGGGTGTGGCAGGGGAAGGATACTTCAAAATCCCCATTCCCACCCCACTCTGGGACCAGCCAAAGGTGGGTATTTGCCAGCTCATAATTTCCACTACCGGTTCTCCAGAACCTGTCAGAACCTGCTGGATTTCACCCCTGTCCCAGAGCTATAATTGCACTCAACAATGAACTAAAGGGCCACCATCAGTGAACTGTTGGACAGTATTACTTGGTCTGTTGTGTGGATGTTTGGGTGGTTTAGGAGTGGGGAATTTATGTTGGGTGGGGGTGTGTTTGGGGATTGTTATGTGTATTGGACCTGGTCTTTGGGTTTTAAGTGAATTTCGTTGTATGGGTATACTGTGTATACACGTACAATGACAATAACGTTATTATTATTGTTGTTATTGTTATTAAAATAAGAGTTACCTCCATTCAACTCCCCAATATTTAAACCTTGCCTCAACTGTGTATAATACAGTTAACCAAGAGAGAAGGATAGTGGGTACATTTTTAAACAGATAAAAGTTAGTTGCCCTCCTTGTGAATGTATTTGATGGTCTCCAAAGCCATTTGCCTCTAAACAGAACAATCTTCCTCTATAGAAGCCTGTTCCTACCCATCTTGGGGATCAAAGGCATTTAAGCAAAAATAATTAAATAAATGAATGAATGAATGAATGAATGAAAGAATGAATGAATGAATGAATGAATGAATGAATGAATGAATGAATAAATAAATAAATAAATAAATAAATAAATAAATAAATAAATAAATAAATAAATAAATAAATAAATAAATAAATAAATACACAACTTTTCACTCACTGTAAGCTATTTTGGTACTGAAAAATCTGCCCTCGTGTGGTGTGATTGCCACTAAGGCAGGAGTAGAATTGGCTGCTCGTTCTCTTCTGCCCAACGCTCTGTGCAAAGAGGCTGATTTGGGGGTGGCCCTTGGCTCTGCCAGGCTTACCAGCTCCTAAGAGACGGGCCAGGGTTGGCAATGAACCACCAGAGGAGAGGCCTGGACTCTTAGAGAGGATTTGTCCCGATTCCTGTACATGCAGGGCCTTCTCTCTGCAGTGTTCACACTTCTCTAAATGAAGATTACCAGATTGGTTTCCAAAAGTGTTTGGTGTGACAGATACGGGAGGCCATTGGAAGCAACTGCAAATCATTCCTAAGATCTGATTTCACAAAGACAGAGGCTGCCGTTTACGCAAACCAAAAGCTATGCTGGCTGGAGAATTCTGGGAGTTGAAGTCCACACATCTTAAAGCTGCCAAGTTTGAAGACCTCTGATGTAGAATCAAAGTCTAGTGCGAATTTCCTTGGCAAAAGTTCAGCCTCGCTTCTCCCTTTATTTATTTATTTATTTGTTCAACTTGTATGCTGCCTTTCTCCGAAGATTCAAGGCGGCTTACCATGCATTTAAAAACCATATATGAAACATTAAAAGTTAAACCATTAAAAACAATTAAAACCCATTCACGCCATTCATGGCCAGATCGCAAGAGTGAGATCAACGGCCCCAGGCCTGCCGGAAGAGCCAGGTCTTCACCGCTTTTCGGAAGGCCAATAGGGTGGGGATGGTCCGGACCTCAGGAGGACACTGGTTCCAGAGAGCTGGGGCAGCCACAGAGAAGGCCCTCCCCTGCGGGCCCACCAGCCGGCATTGTTTAGCTGATGGGACCCAGAGGAGACCAACTCTGTGGGATTTTACTGGTCGCTGGGAGCTATGCGGCAGAAGGCGGTCTCGAAGATAACCTGGCCCTGAGCCATGTAGGGCTTTAAAGTTAATAACCAACACCTTGAATTGTGACCCGAGACCAATAGGGAGCCAGTGCAGCACACGGAGAATTGGTGTAATGTGGGTGTACCTAAGTGCACCCACGAAACCTTTGAAGGTTTCCCAGGAACAGCTGCCCGGAAAGCAGCCGAAAGCCCTGGGAGACCAAGACTGCCATCCTTCGGCAGGCCAGAGCGGAGGTTCCTATTAGAGAAAGGACCAATGTTCAGCTATTTCTTCGAAGCCTCTGGAGACACCGGAACGACTGGCCACAACAACCACCACGATGCACCTTTAACACAACTCTCAACTTTCTGGAGAAGTTGTTCAACTTTGGCAACTTCTGCTTGCCAGGCCGACTCCCGCTGAAGCTCTCGGGCTGGCTCCCAGGGCCCATCATCCCCAGCCTTGCTGCCTGGAGCGCAGCGAAGGGGCAGAGGCACGTGGGGCGGGCGGGGGGGGGGGAGAGAAGCGACCGCCGGAAGAGGCGGGAAGGAGCGCCCCAGCAGACGAGCCGCCTTAGGATCAGCGGCTGCGCGGCTCCTCTCTCGGCCCTTCAGGAAGCGCCCAGGTGAGCTCGCCCCCTCGGCCCGCCGGGCGGCTGAAGGCAGGCAGGCAGGCAGGGAGGGAGGGAGGCTGGGAGGGTCTCCAGCTGGGCGAGGCAGCCCCTCCATCCAGCCAAGACCCCGGGAGGGGGGGGGAGAAAGGGTCTGGCTGCCCTCCCGGCGGACGGGGAGGGGGCTGCAGGGGCTGGCCGGAGTCGGGGGGCGCGCGGGGAGGCAGCGGGGCACCTTGAGCCCATCGCCCGCGGGGCTCCTTCCAGGCGGCCCGGAGGAGAGGAGCGGCGGGGCAGGCAGCGGCGTCCGGGCTTTCCCGGACGGGGACTTGCGCCGCCGCTTGCGCCCGCTCTGGGAGCCTCCGGGGGCGGAGAGCAGGAGCAGCGCCCGCTCGCCTTGGCCGGGCTCGCCCGCTCCGGGCCCCCGCTTTGGCGCCGCGCGCCCATTGGCCCGTTTGAAAGCGGCGGCGCGGCGTCATTGGCGGGCGGGCGGCTGCCGAGCGACGCGGTTAATTTGAATCCGCCGGCGTTGCTCGCAGAGCGGCGGCTGCGGCAGCGGCGGCGCTTTCGGTCCGGAAGGCTCTTGCGCCGCGGAGGCACCGGCCGAGAGGAGCGGTAAGGGGAGGCGCCCGCGGGCGCCCTGCTGCAAGGCCCGGGAGGCAGGCGCCCCCCTCCCCCCAATATCCAGGCCAGCGGTGGAGCAGCGGCCGAGGCGACGGGCCCTCCGGCTGAGCGCTGGCCCCGGGGTGGGAGGCCCGGTGGCTTCCTCCCGCCCCACGTGCATGGCCAGTTTGTGCCCGGGGCGCAGCTGCGAGAAGGCCCCGAGATTCGTTGAGGCGTCCCGGTGGAAGGGACTCGGGGCCGGGCAGGCCTTTCCCAGGCGCTGCAGAACTGCGTCTATTGGAGGGCGCCAAATGGGGGGGACGGGGGGGGGCTTTGCTGGGCAGCTCTTGACTGAAAAAAGGAAAATCAGCTGAATTGGAATGGGCTGAGTTGGATTCAAGCGGGTGGAGGAGGGGCTGTGGCCTCCCTGGGTGGGGGAAGAGAAAGTATCCAAATGGGGGAAACTTGCTACAAATGTTACTCTCCTTGGTTCTTCCAGCTGAAATCCTTTGGAGTGATGGACGACTACACCAAGATAGAAAAGATTGGTGAAGGTAGGTGCCCCCTGATCTGCCCCTCGGATGCCTCCTCCTTGTCTCTCATGGAATTATGCTACAGAGAAGCATATGGGAAGAAACTTCTTTGAAATAAATGCATGGGACAGAACCGGAGGCTGTAGCAGCCAAAAGTTGCATCCCTTCCCCTTGGAGATGCGGTGGAGCTTTGCAGCTTTTGAGAAAGTAAAGATCCTCATCAGCCGTCAAACTAGCTCCCGGGATTCTCCCAGGAGCCCAACGTTTAATAACCAAACAACCAAAATTGTGGGAGATTAATACACCTCGCACGATTGTGCTGTACCCACCAAAAATCTTGCAAGAGAAAGCACAGGGTAGCTGCTTTGGGGGACAGAATGATGACCTTTGTGATCGATATCTTTAGTTCCTTGGAGAGAATATTTTGGCCTTGGTCAATTTGTCTTGGGCTCTTGCTGCACGAACCAACTCACTGTAAAACTGTCCCTTAGCAGTACATTTTAATTTGGTAAATAAGATGCCTTTTCTCTTCCTGTGAGCTTCTGAAAAGGATCAGGGGCCTTTGTGTGTTCTCCAAGCATCCAAGTTCATCCCTCTCGTTAGCCAAGTTGCTTTGTTTGATGTTCTTTCTTGGCTTCCTTCTTCCAAGCCTTGGCAACCCCTTGTGACGCTTCATCCAGAATTACAAAGTCAGCCAACACACACACACACACGTTGCCTTTTCCCTTTGTGCTAGGAACGTATGGCGTCGTGTACAAAGGCAAGCACAAGGCCACGGGCCAAGTGGTGGCCATGAAGAAAATCCGCCTGGAAAGCGATGAAGAGGGTGTTCCCAGCACGGCCATCAGGGAGGTTTCCCTGCTGAAAGAGCTACACCATCCCAACATTGTGTGGTGAGTGCAACCCTGTGGCTCCATTGGGCAAAGAGGATGCTTTGTGTATGTGGAGAGCCGGGAAGGAAGTGACATCGCTATTATTTTTCCACAGGGTTTACACAAACACACATCCCAAATAGGCCTATTTCACGAAATGCAGGCAATATCAGTACATGCCTAGGTGTACAGATAGCCTTCGACTTATGGCCACAATTGGGACCAGAATTTCTGGTGCTAAGAAAGGCAGTTTATTAAATGAGTGGTACCCAATTTTACTACTGTACCTTTTTTGCTATGGTTGTTAAGCAAATGACCACAGGACGTAAGTGAATCCAGCTTCCCCCATTGACTTCACTTGTCAGATGCTGGCTGGGAAGGTTGCAAATGGCGATCACAAGACCCTGGCACACCACATCAGGTGTGGCTGGATTCGGCCCACAGGGTGCTTTAATTGGGCCCGCCCTGGAAACAGCAAAGGACCGGGCCATGGTGCCTCTGCCAGCAAGAACAGAGCTTGGGAGGGTCACATGCGGGTCTCCCGGGCTCCGTTTTCACTGGCAGAGGGCTGCAGGAGGCCGTCACGGCTGAAAACAGAGCCTCGATGAGTGACATCGAGCTGGCCACGCTCCTCCGAGCCCCCCCCCCCACAAGGTCAAACGCAACCCTGATGCAGCCCTCAATGAAATCGAGTTTGACACCACAGCACTACAGTCATCATGAATACATGCTGATCCACCTGTTTCTGCCCTCAAGTGCACAAGATCTCCAAGGGCAGAAACAATGTGGTTTAACTCAGGACTTGAATTGCTAAGATTGCGAAGCTCTTCTTTGGAACTCCACTGCCGTGCACTTAAGCAAGGCTTCTTTCCAAGTGGAGGGGCTTGGGGTTATGCTGCAGGGGGTTGATTTTATGGATAAGGATGCATGATAATTGATCCCACCGTGTCTGTTTGCACCTGGTGGTTCTGCCTTATTGCTACAAATGTTTGTTTAGTGAAGAGGAACGTTAATTGGGGATACATCTAATAAGCTAGTAAAATTTCTTGCTTTTGAATGTTTATGTTAGCCTTTCCAGGGAAAATGCAGAGAATATTAAGTGGAACAGACGTTTGCATGATATGAAAAATAAATGAAAATGTCTACACTCTTGCTGTAACAGCTTTTAGACATCATGCTAAACCAGATTTGTCTTTAATCTCCTTCGGAGTCACCATTGCTTCTCCCTGGCCCTTTCCAGCAGTGGGAGCATCTGAACAAACTAGAGAAGAGTATTAACTAATGGTGCAATTAGAGAATCATTAATTTGGCACTTTGTGGGGAAATGAGAGCTTGCGGAGTAGTTAGAGGGAACAGTTGTGCTAACTAGAATGAAGGAGTTTGAGTTCTCTTCATTTGTTCAAATAAATCTCTTTAGTCTTCAGGATGTGCTTATGCAAGACTCAAGGCTTTACCTTATCTTTGAATTTCTTTCCATGGATCTCAAGAAATACTTGGATTCTATCCCATCGGGCCAATATTTAGATCGCATGCTCGTTAAGGTAAGAAAGAGTAAAACAAAACAAAAAGGAGGGTCTGGAAAAATGTTCTTTTCTAGCTCATTTCTGCCACGAGCCTCTTAAGGTTGAGATTGGTGGAAGCAGCATGAAAAGCATGTGAGTGCTTATAAAAAGTCATGGTCTGTTTTGGGGTTTTGGCCAAGGAATCCCTGCTTGTGAACGGCAAAGTGCACCATCAGTTAAAGGCAGCTGTTGTGAAGTTCAACATGTGCCAAATAAGCTTAGATTTCCTTATTGCTTTTATTTATTTATTTATTTATTTATTATATTTCTATACCGCCTTTCTCCCGTAGGACTCAAGGCGGTGTACAGCCAAGTAAATATAGACACACAAACAACATAAAATTGCTAATTAAAATTATTACTTAGTTTGGCCAATTAAATAAAACCCAGAATTAGATAACATTTAAAAAATCATTCACATGTTCATATGTTTAGCCCCGCCTGTTGGAACATCAGGGTCTTGAGGGCACGGCGGAAAGCACGGAGATCAGGGATATTCCGTATCTCCGGGGGCAGTTCATTCCAAAGGGTTGGAGCCCTCACAGAGAAGGCCCTCCCCCTGGGAGTTGCCAGTCGGCATAAATTGACTGACGGTACCCTGAGTAGTCCCTCCCTGTGAGAACGAACTGGTCGGTGGGAGGCTATTGGTGACAAAAGACGGTCTCGTAGGTACCCAGGTCCTAAGCCATGGAGTGCTTTAAAGGTGATAACTAACATCTTCAGTCGCACCCGGAAGACCACTGGGAGCCAGTGCAGCTCGCGCAGGAGAGGTGTTACATGGGCACAACGAACTGCGCCCATAATCACCCGCGCGGCTACGTTCTGGACCAGCTGGAGCCTCCGGGTGCTCTTCAAGGGGAGCCCCATGTAGAGAGCATTACAGTAGTCCATACGGGAGGTGACTAGGGCATGAGTGACTGTGTGCAAGGCGTCCCGATCCAGAAAGGGACGCAACTGGCGGATCAGGCGAACCTGATAAAAGGCACCCCCTGGCCACGGCCGTCATCTGCTCTTCTAAAGATAGCCGTGAATCCGTGAATACTTTTGCAAAGTATCTGTCATCCATAATGACTCCTTGCTGACAAAGTCCTCACACAATCCTAGGACTTACAGACCTGCATCAGGAATGCAAGTATGCAGCCTTAGTGTTGCCTGATGCATGGCCGTGCCTCATTTAATGACGCTGATTGGCTATGGGTGCTACAGATAGTTCTCCCGGGAGAAGATGTGAATGCTTTCTGAAGTGGAAGTCTTTGCTCTTGTGATTCTTTCAGAGTTACTTGTACCAAATCTTGCAAGGTATCGTGTTCTGCCATTCAAGAAGGGTCCTGCACAGAGACCTGAAACCCCAGAACTTGTTAATTGATGACAATGGTGTGATTAAACTAGCCGACTTCGGGCTGGCACGTGCTTTCGGCATCCCCGTGCGTGTCTATACACACGAGGTAAGGGGGCGTCTGTGGCTCTGACTTCAGGCAGGATCGGATCTCTGAAGAGGTTAAAGCACTTCCCGTGGTGGGGGGGGCGAGGGCCCTGTGGGGAGGAGATAGGGATGACCTGCAGATGGGGCCACTGGGAGTGGATGGCCTTGTGTGAGCAGAGGTTTGGCAACAGCTAATCTCAGTTGTGTTCAACTTGAAACAGCTCAAAATGTAGCTTCCTTTTTTTCTTTTGGAGACAACGGTGCTAACATGAGCTCGTTGAAGGGAAAAAATGGGTCTTAATTCATCCTGAACAGTTCAGGTGATAGCTGGCTCCAGTCTCTTAAATTTATGAGCAAGAAGGATGCTAGCAATAATCCTTTTGTGAGTTGGATGATAATCCTACCTAGCACTTCCGAAGTGTGTGTGTGTTTTAAATAGCAGGTAAAAATCTTCCAATTGCTGGTTTCCTTTCTAGGTTGTAACCTTGTGGTACAGATCCCCCGAGGTCTTGCTTGGTTCTGCTCGCTACTCTACCCCTGTAGATATATGGAGCATCGGGACCATCTTTGCAGAAATGGCCACCAAGAAGCCGCTGTTCCACGGGGATTCAGAAATCGACCAGCTCTTCCGGATCTTCAGGTATCAAGGCAAACAATCAGCTGGGGCAAGAAGAATCTGTGGCTTGGGGGGGTCACTTTTGCATGTTCCTGATTGACAACTGGTATTCCCTGATGAATTGGGATTGGTCTGCTCATGGTTCCTGGCCGTTCTTTTTTTCTTTCTTTCTTTTTTTTTTTGAAAAGTTTTTTCAGTTTTATTTCTTATACGCATAATATAAAATGTACATTTTCTTATACATAATTAATCATGCATATACATGTTTTCTTTAAAGAAAGCGTAACATAAGGCATTTTAATTACATTCGGAGTTGCTCTTCTACCCTTCTTCCCTCATTTCGCAACAAACCTTCTCCTCCTTTCCTTTCCCTCCCTTCTCTCCTACTTTCTCCTTCCTCCTCTCCTACCTCATCCTACTTCCCCTTCCTTTCCCCCACTCCTCTCTTCTTTTCCCCCATCTCACCTTCTCTCCTACTCGTCCCCTTGCTTCCTCTCCTTTTCCCTTGCTTCCATTCCTCTCCCTCCCTCTCCTCTTCCTACCCTCTACTCCTCTCTCCTTTCTATCTTCTTTGCTATGGAATATTCTCCTTGTTTGGTATCCAAGCAACTCCTGTAATCTAATCATACATACTTTCTTTCAGTTTCTTTTCAGATTTATTCTATCAGTATTATCATCCTAATTGTACATTTATTCTTATAATCTTCTTTCTTTCCCCCCCCCTCCCAATCTCCCTTTTTCATTTACTCTGATGTCATCTGGGTTTCTATTTTTTGTCCTCTCCCTCATTTAACTTTCTATTATCTAGAGCATTTATCTATCCTCTTATCTTCATATTTCTTTTCTAACCGTATATAAAATCTTCCCCATGTCTTGAAATACACTGATTCATCTTTATCTCTTATTCTTAAAGTTAATCTATTCATTTCCGCACAGTCTAAAATCTTTTTTTATTACTTCACCTTCTGACGGAATTTTTTCTGTCTTCCAATTTTGGGTTCCTGGCTGTTCTCATGGCAGACGGCTCTACAGGTCGTTGCATCCTAGAACAGGTGTCTGCAAAGCTGGTTGGGGAATTCTGGGAGTTGAAGTCCGCCAGGCTTAAACTGGCCAAGGTTGCAGGCACCTGTCCTAGAACAGCTGTAACACCTGTTGTATTATTACATCACTCGTGCTGGACCAATGTAAACAAAATTATATTTTGCAGCCTGCAGATGGTTGCCCGTTTCTTCCCATTTCTGGGGTATCCAGATGATATGGAAAGACAGACCCACACAGGCACAGCCGAACAACCCCCTCCTTTTCTTTTCTTTTCTTTCTTTCTTTCTTTCTTTTTTTTTTTTTTTTGCTGATGTTGCCAAGGCCACAAAGTTTCTGTGTCCGTTTGTGCCTGGGTGGTGGGAGGGGAGTTTTAGCCAGCTGGTCTTCATCCTCCAAGGGTGGGGCTCCAAAAGCCTCCCTCCCTCCCGAGGTCTCTATGAGGGCAGATTCAACCCACCACTCTCCTCTTCCTGGCAGAGCATTGGGGACCCCCAACAATGACGTCTGGCCGGAAGTAGAATCCTTGCAGGATTACAAGAATACCTTCCCCAAATGGAAACCGAGCAGCCTGGCATCCCACGTGAAGAATTTGGATGATGAAGGCCTCGATCTGCTCTCTGTAAGTGACAGCGTCACTCTTCTTCTGCGGGACCTGGAAGTTGAGTCGTGGCAAGTGGACTTCTTTTCCTTTTGGGTTTGAAGCCTTTCACTGCCTACCCAAGTACCTTCTTGAGTCTGACCTGTCGGGTCCTTCTAACCGGTATAAGCAGCAAAACGTTTCAAACTAAAAAGAAAAAGAAGTCCAGTGGTTATAACTCAACTTCCAGAAAACTCTAGCTGGATGACTGAGAATCTTCATCAACATCTGCACACCCTTGAAAGGCCCCATCCTCAGAGTGGGCCTTTTGATTCTTCTGGAGGGGAAACAAGCTCTCTCTAGACCGGGTGGCCAAGGCATTGAGCAGAAAGCAGGTTGGTCAGGCTTGGCAAAATGGCTGCAGTCCGCAAATTGGTTTGGTGAATAGTTGCTTCGAGAAACCAGAATTTATAGTAGGTTATATTTACAAAAGGTAAATATAATATAAATGTAAAAGGGATGCGGTGGCCAGTGGCTAAGATGCTGAGCTTGTCGATCGAAAGGCGGTTCGAATCCCTAGTGCCACGTAATGGGGTGAACTCCCGTGACTTGTCCCAGCTTCTGCCAACCTAGCAGTTCAAAAGCAGGTAAAAAATGCAAGTAGAAAAATAGGGACCACCTTTGGTGGGAAGCTAACAGTGTTCCGTGCGCCTTTGGTGTTTAGTCATGCCGGCCACATGACCACGGAGACGTCTTTGGACAGCACTGGCTCTTCGGCTTTGAAACGGAGATGAGCACCCCCACCCCCCCCTAGAGTCAGGAATGACTAGCACATATGTGCGAGGGGAACCTTTACCTTTACCTATATTTACAAATAGTTTTTGATGTAGCTATTTGTTTCACTCCCAAATGTATCCCTAATACAAGTGTGAAGTCTGCTTTTAGGATAACAGTTTAGTTGGCTTGTTCCTTCTGGATTAAGGGAAATGTAGCTCCTACCTGTGGAATCCTTGATTGTCCACACAGTTTTTCTAATTGATAAAATAAGGTTTTCCTGAGTCATGCAAATGAGATGCATGTATATAATCTGCCAGAGGGAAGGTTTAACAGATTTTAACAGATTAACAGAGTTGGAAGGGACCTTGTAGGTCATCTAGTCCAACCCCCCTCTCGCCCAAGCAGGAGACCCTACACCATTTTTGACAGATGGCAGTCCAGTCTCTTCTTGAAAGCTTCCAGGGATGAAGCTCCCTCAACTTCCGAAGGCAACTTCTGTTCCATGGGTTGATTGCTCTCACTGTCAGGAAATTTCGCCCGGAAGGGTTCTGCCAGATGAGAATCCTATCCTGCGTTTTCCTTCATTCAAAGTTTTTTTCTCTAGCCTCTTCCCACATGGGCAGGGTCTGCTTTTTTCCCAGCTCTCTAGATGCAGGGGGTCGTCAGGATGACTCAGTAGGTCACTAGTAGTCTAGTATATATTTGTGGTCCTGGTTTGCCATGTTCCAACTTGTTTTGAAGGATTTCTCATAAAGTTTTGTAGAACAGCAGTCCCCAACCCTTTTGGCACCAGGAACCAGTTTCATGGAAGATAATGTTTCCACAGAGCGTGCAACCTAGATCACACATATGTGTAGTTTACCTCGCCCCCCACACACCTCCAACTGTGCAGCCTAACAGGCCACGGATTGATACCTGTCCACGGTCCGGGGCTTGGCAACCCCTGTGTAGGACAAAGCTCAAAATTGTCATCTATCATTTGTTCTAATGTCCGGAAGACATTGTATTTCTCCCGTTGCATTAAGTGAAGGAGATGACCGGTGGGTGTAGAGCGGTCACCACTCCCCTTTCTCTTCTCAGCATCCAAATAGGGAGACTGCGATTCTGCCATAGGGCCTGAGCCCCACCAAATACAACAGCTACCCACCACCTTTCCCATGGGGGCCACTGGCTTCCCTGCCCTACTTTATTTGGGTTAACAGTTTAGACCAGCGGTGTCAAACTCAAGGCCCGTGGGCCAGATCTGGTCCATGGGGCCGGCCTGGAAACAGCAAAGGGGTGGGGTGGGGCCAGCAGGGTGCTGCAGGAGGCATCCCATCTCCTCCCCCAGCCCTCAAAGAAATCCAATTTGACACTCCTGGTTTAGGCCCTTAGAATTACACACTGGCCTGCTGCAGGGCAACTGACATCGTACTTCCAAGAACCCTTTTGGGCTCCAGAGGTAGATTTAAAAACTAGTTTCATCCAGTGCCTTGCTTGGGAGGGTCACACCGCCATGGACAGGGAGGGAAGAAGCCTCAGCAGACAATAATCTGGGGAGATTTTCTTGTCGTCGTCTTATGCTTTGTTTTACCTGGCCCTGCCCTATTTTGTAGCCATTTTATGCAACCTAAGAACCAAAAGTGGCTGCAGAGATTAGATATGTTCTGAAGTGGGACTGGCGAGTATGGGTCCAAAGTTTCCTGCTCTGACGTGGACGCCTATCGCTCCGCCCTTCTTGCCTGTGGATTGTGGGTGGGTGACGTTTCCCTTTGTTTTGACTTGCAGAAAATGTTGATCTACGATCCCGCAAAAAGGATTTCTGGCCGTGTGGCCCTGAATCACCCCTACTTTGATGACCTGGACAAATCGAAACTCCCAGCCAACCGGCTCAAGAAATGCTAACTGTTGGTTTGTGGAGAAGCTGCTGCGGATGTTTGCTGCGAGAGTATGCAGAAATTGTTGCTCTTGTTTTTTTATATATGTCTGTCTTGATCTGTTCTAAAATTATAGCCCTGTTTAGAGTCCCTGATGTAAAATCCTCCTCAAATGTAAATATTAAGTGACTCAGTCCTCAATAAATTTGTGCACTGTTAATTATTCCCACCGTTATATAAATAAATCCTTCAAAACTAGGCTGGAATGTTGGTTTCTTCCAGATGCTTGCAGATGCTTGGCTTGACTACCAGAAGGGGCTAAAGGCTTTTTAGCCTTTAGGGTCTTTGTAGAAAAGGCCCCCTCTCTCCAGGCCCCCAGTTGGACGAACCCAAAATCTCCCAACAGCTGCAAATCTGGCTTTGCCGAGGTCATCTTTGAGGACCTTCCCCCTTTTGTAGGTGTCCCAGAGAAGTCCACGCTGGGCTTGAGGCCAGTCCTTGCATGACTCCCTGCTCAATTGTGTGTGGCTTTAGGGATGGTGACAGTCTCCCTTCCTCTCCTCTCTTCCTGGAGAACACCTGGGCAGCCCTCCGTGGCAGTGAGGTGAGGGTCAACCTCTAGAGCAGTGTTTCTCAACCTTGGTAGCTTGAAGATGGGTGGACTTCAACTCCCAGAATTCCCCAGCCAGCGCTGCTGGCTGGGGGATTCTGGGAGTTGAAGTCCACCCATCTTCAAGCTTCCAAGGTTGAGAAACACTGCTCTAGACCACCAGGAGATTGGGGAAGCAATCATTACCTCATCTTGAAGGGCAGCAGTAGAAGTTGCAGCAGACCATTGTTGAACCTTCTGTTGAATATCTGTTTCTCCTGTGAAACTTGAGATTTCGGTTACCAGCTGCTTCCTGAGATTCTCAAGCCACGGAAACTCAAGATTGTCACACTTGACAGGCAGACATTCAACCGAAAGAGCTCTGTTTATCGAGCCCGCTTTATCGTGTTCTGTAGCAGAGGAGGAAATGAGGTCATCGTAAATGTAACCCATTCAAGTGAGAAATGGTGGCTGCTGCATCCATGACTCAACAAACCGACTTGTCAGTGTGCCATTTCCTCTTGAGCCACAAGATGTCAGCACAATACACAATCTCTGCAATCATCTACATAATCAAGGTGTGGTAGGAGATCGGCTGCAGGATGGAGCTGAATCACCCTGGAATAGCTTGCAGCATGCACTTTTATGTGAGTTCAATGGAGCAGAATTACTACACTTAAAAATGATTGTTTAAAAGACGGCAAACTGTTTAAAACCCTTTTCTCCCTTCTCTCATCCTGGGTTTTGCTTCCTGGGAGTAGCTGGTAGATTAGAAGATGATTGTCTTTGTGGAAGAAGGAGTTTTTCATCAAAATTGCCAAATCTATCGATGTCATATTTATCTAATGTTTTGCACTGTTAGAGTGAAAAGTGCTGCATGTTTCAGGCAGCATCTTCTGCTTTCTTCTTCAACAACGCAAGCAGATTTCTGGGTTCACTTGACCTGTGAAGGAAACTGTGTTCCTTTTCTCAACTGCAGACCATCTTGAGCTCAAGAAACAAGAATAAGAAAAGGCTGTTTTTCCACTCCTGCTCACAGTTTCCCATCTTTGGCCAAGTGCGAAAACTGCAACACTTTTCAACATATGTGGATACAATTCATTTGCACTTAATGCAGGTGGGAAAATTCTGCAGGTGGTGCGTCTCTGCTTTTCCCCTTAATTAGAAGTGTGATACGGAAAATATTGTGCTTCCAGCTGGCCATCAATTACCACAAAATGTTCAGAATTTCTGAACAAACTTAAATGGAGGAATTTTAATCCAATATAGGTAAGATATAGGTAAGCTTCTAGTGTCTGCTCAGAAGAAAAGTCTATAGTTTTATTTGTCATCCACATCTTAACGTGTGGCAATAACCAACTGGTGACCTCTGGCTGTGACAATTAAAACTTGTCCAAAAGACAAGACCGCCTTCTAAATCTTTTACTTGCTACGTTAACCGCCTAGAGCTGGGATGGATTATCAGAGCTTCTTTGTCTCAAACCATCCTAAACATGTAGAGTCTCTCCTTTAGAACCGTCTTGTGATCTGTGGAGAAAAATATCTCTCACACATGAATGTATACAAACAAAACACTTTTTTAGGTTTGTTGTTCTTAGTTGCGAAGTCGTGTCCGACCCATCACCTCATGGACAACATTCCTCCAGGCCTTCCTGCCTTCTACCATCCTCTGGAGTCCATTTAAGCTCACGCTGACTGCTTCCAGCCATCTCCATCCAGCCACCTCGTTCTCTGCCGTCCCCTTCTTCTTCTTTTGCCCTCAATCGTTCCCAGCATTAGGCTCTTCTCCAGGGAGTCCTTCCTTCTCATTAGGTGGCCAAAGTATTTGAGTTTCCTCTTCAGGATCTGGCCTTCTAAAGAGCCGTCAGGGTTGATCTCCTCAAGGACTGACCGGTTTGATCGCCTTGCAATCCAAGGGACTCGCAGGAGTCTTCTCCAGCACCAGAGTTCAAAGGCCTCCATTCTTTGGCCTTCTCAGCCTTTCTTATGGTCCAACTTTCACAGCCATCCATTGCAACTGGGAAAACCATAGCCATATATGCACTTTTGTTGGCAGGGTGATGTCTCTGCTCTTTAGTATGCTGTCTAGCTTTGCCATAGCTTTCCTCCCCAGGAGCAAGTGTCTTTTAATTTCTTGGCTTCAGTCCCCATCTGCAGTGATCTTGGAGCCCAGGAAAATAAAATCTGTCACTACCTCTATTTCTTCCCCATCTATTTGCCAGGAATTGAGAGGGCTGGATGCCATGGTCTTAGTTTTCTTAATTCCTTTTCTTTTTTGGGTTGGTCAATCAGAAAAAACGTTCACATGGCCACTTCAAACTCCTGCAAAATGTAGGGGTAAGAAACAGCAGCAGAACTTTTTAAACATCTCCCAGTTCAAATCTTCAAAGTTGATTTGTTCTTAAGGAGGACTTAAAGGCACTGTGCTCCCAGAGCTGCATTGTAATTAGTGGGGGGGGAAGGAAGGGCTCTGAGCTGTCCAAAAGGGCACCAGGACCTCCTGCACCTGAAGTGCTCTGTGTGGCTTAGTGTTGTGGCAGCACATTCGGACAGTGAGGAGGTTGGGGAGGAATGTGGGCCAGTCCTGGAGTCTGGGGAAGGCTCCGACAATGGCTCTGAGTCAGAGACAGAGAGGGGGCCAAGGCCATCTGGTAGTTTTTTGTTGCCTCCAGAGTGATCAGCGAGGCAGAAGAACAGCGGGAGCCTGTTCCCAATGTGCACATGCGCAGAGCTGCCAGGAGACAGGAACAATTAAGGAAACAGGGTCGACTTGGGAGTAAGGCTTGGAGATGATTGGCCCCTCCCATAAGACATAAAAGAAGTGAACGAGATGTGAGCTTTTGCAGGAAGCAATTAGTTCATCTGGTCAGTAAAAGCTCTGGAAAAGCTCTGTTTGACTCTGTGCTAAGTTTGGCACTGCCCTGCATTTGACAATTAGTTCTCTGGCAGCATTCCAAGGGAGATAAGGTGAGTGTTTGCAACCACTCCTCTGAAAGACTGTTTATCAAGCCTTGCGGACTGTAAATGAAAGTAATTTACAGCCATATGAATTAAAGAGGTTTGCCGGGACTAAGTTTGTGCTGTTTACTTTCTAAGGAAGCCTAGGTCAGAACACTTAGGACAGGATCTAGGACTTTTAGGCTCCTACCTTTGGCCGTGCCTGCTTCTCTTCCAGGGTTCCGCCTCCGTGCATTATCCAACAGCTTTTCTCTTCAGCTGGCCCGCCCCCGTTCTTTCACCCCGGCACATGGGCCATGGCCCCTCTGTCCCAGTCTCTTTGCTCATTCGTTGAAGAACAGTTCGTGTTGGGCGTTTGGGCGCATGGGACAATTCGCCACCAGCCAATCAGCTGGCTGGCAATGCTGGCAATCAGAAGTCACAGCACGATCGATGCAGGGGCTGGGAGGCTTTGGAAGAGGTGATGCAGCTAAATGGTCTCAGGCACTTGTTAGGAGAAGGAAGGGGAGGGGTGGGAGCTCCTCTGTACCTGATCGTGCCTCTCTGACACCAAACGGGAAGAGAAGAGTGGGGGGTGGGTAACCCTAACCCTAACCCAGTCCCTGCATCGATCGTGCTGTGACTTCTGGTTGCCAGCATTGGCAGCCAGTCGATTGGCTGGTGGCGAATTGTCCTGTGTGCCCAAACGCCCAACACGAACTGTACTTCGACGAATGGGCCGTGGCAAAGGGACTGGGACAGAGGGGCCGTGGCCCATGTGCCGGGGAGAAAAGCTGGTGGACAATGCGCAGAGGCGAAGCAGACACGGCCAAAGGTAGGAGCCTAAAAGTCCCATTCCGCTTGTGCTTGTGCAACAAACACAAGGCAGCAAATGTGACCTTTCAGGTGTGCCTTACATCCCTGGGATGAAAACTATACTCCGGTTCCATATCTTCGTAAACCTTGCAATCATACATGTCCATGTGACCCAGTTGGGTCGTGGGAAAACAGTTTGAGAAATATTCTGGAAAGAAGCATGAATTGCTTTTAACACATTCTTTAAAATGAGGAGAGGAAAGGTGGTATAGCTAAACCATTTTATTGAGATGCTTTTCCCAAAATAGAAACAAAAGTAAGTCTCCCACCAAGCTTAAAGGCCACAGGCAGAATTAAACCAAATGAACCAGCCATTTGGTTCCAGAAGCTCTTAAGTAGTTCAACCATCAGTTATTGCAAATAGCCCTGGTTCATTGACTCCTCTCCCTGTGTCAAGAGTACCGTTGATCTTGCCAAGCACAGCAGCGATGTTTATACAACACACAGGGTGCAAACATTTTGCTATAGGCTGCCTCAATTCAGGGGACAGGTAAGGAGCTGAGCCCACAGCTCCCCTGTCCAGAGGTGGTTGCTAAACTGGACTCCAGAAGGATGCCATAAGCAGCCTTAGGCTCTCCTCCACATGCATAAAACTCCCTTTGCGTCCATCGCTCTTGCTCTTGGGAGCCAAAGGGATGAAATCTGAGTCACAGATTTTCCCTCGGCTTGCTCTGCTTTTCCTCTTGTGATCCTTGACCAAGCATGACAGGTACGTGCAAATACCCTTTGCCTTCCCAGCCCTTTGTAACAAACAGAACAGTGAGTTTTTGAAAATATGGATTATTTAATGTATACAGTGGAGATATTTCTAAGTCTCTCTTGGTGCCTGAAGCAGAGTCGGTTGTCTCCGCTTCTGGGCCCTGAAGGGAAGGTAGAGAAGGTTTCCTGATTCAGCAGGAAAGAGAAGGAGTTTCCTTCCCAAGTTGGCTCAAAAGTTGAGAAATCTGCCTCCCTAATGGGGAATGACCTATGTGTTCACCTGCTTTACCTGTAAATATGGAGGTAAATGGAGCAGGCTTTGAAGAAGGAACTTTATTTATATCCCTCTAAAGAACTGAGAGAATACAGATGGGAGGGTCACACTGACTCCCCACAATCTCCTTGTCTGGTAGCGGGTGAGCAGCCCAGGTTCACCTCTGCCTGAAGGGGAGATAGGAAGTCTTCGATTTATGACAGTAATTGACCCTGATAATTACAGTCATAAATTGTGACAGTCATAAAGTGGATGACTATGTGACTGGACCAGCTTTTATTTCCTTTTTTGCAGTGATGGTTAAGTGAATGCCACGGTTGCAAAGTGAACATCGCAGTTGCTAAGCAAACACCATGGTCATTAAGCAAATTCATTGTTTACTCAGGATGCCTTTTGACGGAAACTGGAAGTAAACACTGGCTTCTGGCAAACATTGTAAATTGTGGCCATGTGACAGCAGTCATATGTGTGACTGTTTGCTGAGCATCTGAAAAGTCCCCTGACTGAGGGGAGGGGGGGCATTGGAACTTTGGAACTGGCTCTAAGTGCCTTTTTTGGAGGGGGGGGTCCATCGTACTTTTGAATGGTCACTAAGCGAATGGTTATAGCCAATAGTCGAGGACTAGCCAAAACAACTTCAGGTCTTCCAGTCTAGCCCCCACTGTTCTGTTCCAGGAGGTAGCACATTTGTTCCTAAAGTATTTTTAAAAACAGTGCTAATATAAGTTGCCTCAAAATGCTGGAAATCTGATGTCTATCTTTATGGCTTTAGCAAAAGATATTTACCAAAATGTCAGGGATTTAGAGGAAAGATTTCCCAGCATTTTTAGAAGCAACAAGTTACTCAGACAGCTTAGTTAAGAAGCTGTCATTTCAAAAATGGGATTATTTGGGCCAGGGTGACCCTATTGAAACACAGGTGGATGGTTGCTCTTTTGTAGAATAATAAAAATGGAAGAAGTCATTTCATTTAAGGAGCCCTTCACGTGTGAATATGTATAATGAACCAAAGAATATTATGCAGAACTTTCTCCAGAGAAAAGACCCAGACAGTTCTGAAGAAACTCACCCAAATTAGCAAAGAGTGTTCCTGCCATTGGATTTGAAAGAGAAAAAGATATTTTCCTTAATTTCACTCCTGAACTAGATAAAAAGGAGAGAATTACACGTGGCAGTTGCCTCCTGTCCTAGCAGGCCAAACATTCAACATACATATTTGATCACCTAGCTGAAAGAATTGTACACTTTGTGTTCTTTGGCTGATTGACAATTACAATCCTAATGACTTCTGTTGTTAATGGATCTCATTTTTTTTTCAGATAAACGAAACAAGGATTTAATTGTTACAAATGCAGTCCTTGGGGGAAGGAAAAACATCATTCACCTGGCAAAATTGGACGTGTTGCTAGGTTAGCAATTTCAGGGAGATTTTAAAGCCATGGCTTTGTTTTCAGCACTATGGTGACCGAAGGGTGGTGAAAAGAAACAGAGATGATTGGGTAATTTTGCAATCTTCGAGAGAGGAAATGTCACAGACATATTATTTAAAGACCTTCCCCTACGGACCCCACACAGAAACACTCAGTATAAAAATAGGCTCACTTCAGAGATCAAAACACTGATGCTGAATTTCTTGTTATTGAGTATAAAAGGGTGCGTGTGCCAGTTTTAGCTTATTAAAATGGCAGAGTGAGGGTCTAAGAAAGAGATTCACACTCCTGAGGTGAACTTGTGCTTCCTAACCTTTGGTAATCCCTGAATTCAGATGGAATACAAGGGGTGCCTTTGGGTCTCTTCGGCCCAGTCTGCTAAGCCCTTGGTCTGGGGAGAGACCCATGGAAATGAAGGGGAGAAAAGTCTTTGCGTGTCCCACTGAGTCCACCTGTGCTCAGAAGCAATGCTAGAAACTAACTTTTTCCCAGCTGAGCCAAGATGGGTTGGGCTTCTCTCGGCTCAGGCAACCACCGTTGAGGAACTCCAGAAGCACCACTTCCTCTTTGAATGATGTTTATTGAGGGCCAGTTCTTCCTTCTCTCGCTCCTTCTTAACCCGCTGGAAATGGTCTTCCTCTTTCAGGTACCAAATAGGAGGCCAACGGTGCTTTTCAAAATATTCCTGATTATCTGGTGAATAAACGATACCCCATAAATTTAACAATATCTTGAACCAGCGAAGTCTTAGAAACTTGTCTATTTTCTTGAAAAACTAGGGAATGTGTTATCCACCACGCAAAATCATGGAATGCAGAATCTGAAATCTTGTGCTGATTCCGGGGGGAGGGGGGGTCTCTTTTCAAAACTCCACCAAGTTTCAAGTTGTTATAGGATGGGGATGAGAACATCTGGGATTTCTTATTCGTGGTGGAGGACGTAGCTCTCTGTGTCTACTTTAGGATATTCTCAAATGGAAAACTCAGTCAGTTCATTTATGAAAGACACAAAATGCTAGACTGCCATAACTCAAAATGGACCATCCTAATCTACAGAAAAGATCATCAAAATGTTTGATATTGAAGCATCCCAAAGGCAGAATAGGAACTGGGGGGGGGGGAGGGGTCATTTCTGCAGCTGAATATTATGTATTCTTAAATTTCAGTGATTCTGCAGCTATTAAAAAAAGGTCTTATAAGTTATGTTAAAATAAGCAGCAGACCATATAAATATCTACAGGTGGACTTCAAATGCAGATATAAATATTGTGAAAAGGCGATGAATCTCTTACCAGGAGATTTCATTTTAATTTCCTTTCGGAACTTCGAACAAACACTGTTATAGTTAGTGCAGATGTAATGCAAGCACCAAGCTGCCAGCTGCTTAGCATTGTGGAACTGGAAAAGAAACAGAGGGGAGTCAAGGCAAGAGAACATCTCCAGGGGCTGAGCCATCTGGGGGGGCTCTTGGGAAGCAGTCAGTCAGGCTGGACATGTCACTGGAGCAGGGACTGGTCCTCAAACCATCCTGATAGCCCAGTGGGTGGTCCTAAGGGACACTTTCTGGGAAGACAGAGGTTACTCTCAGGGGAAGCAGGGAGATATTGGCAGTAGAAAACTGATAGGCCAAAAGGGGGGGGGGTTCACCGTGCAGAATTCTGGGAGTTGAAGTCCCCAAGTCTTAAAGCTGCCAAGTTTGGGGACCCCTGCCCTAGGAAAACATCCCCCAGCCACTTGTTATTTGGTCCTGAAACCTCCACTGCTCATAGTCATCCCAACCAGGCTGATCTCGAAGGCTGTTTCTTGTAGACCAGGCTCTCTTCTTTTTTCCCATCTCCCACTGTGGGAAAGCTGGAATCTGCTCTCATTCTGCCTGCTGATCTTCCTCTCCCTCAAAGACACATGTCATCTCCTTAAGGGCAGATTTAAAAAGGGGGGTTTTCAGGTGGTGAGAAGTTGTATTCTCAGCTTTTCAAGAGGAACAGCAGGATGAGAAGCACAAAAACTACTGGGGCCATCTCTTATACATCCCCAGCCCATTTGCGATTCTTATCCCAAACGTAATGTTGAAGAAAAAGGAATCTCCTTTTTCATCCATGGGGAAGTAACTTGTGGATGGAGAGTAACTCTCCATCCACAAATGCTTCACCAAAAGAAAGTCCAGATAGTCCTCGACTTACCACTCATAAATCACTTTTTTGAATCTTGTTGTAAACGAATGGTTTTAAGTCGAGGACTACCTGTACACATTTTTTACAATGTTGCAAGCATGAAAAGCATTTTCAATAGAGTGACACCAACCTGGGCTATTTCCAAAACACACAACACTTCTCCATCTATGCATACACCGCTCATGGCTGTTCTGGTGAGTGCCTGTACCGTGTGTTGCTCTGTTGAGGAAGAGAAGCTGACATGAGCTGCACTTGTGAAATCACTCCTGTATAGGTCACAGGTGGCCCTCCTTCCCCTGCCTTTCCCCACCCAGCCTTTGCCGTGTCTGCTGCTGCTCTCTCACCCAGCCCTTTCTCTTTGAGGCTAGGGGAGTGGAGGGGTAGCTATTAGGATAGTTAATTCCAAGAACACTAACACAATAATTAACAAAGTCAGGCTGGAGTAATAAATGGGTCTTGGGCTCCTTCTTTCTGCAAGATTTGCTTAAACTCAATTGCTTAAGATGTTATTAGGCTCTCAAAGTAGAGATTTACAATGGAAACTTTAATATTCACACTCTTTCAATTAAGAATAATCAGGCTGCCTAAAGGGCATTATGAACTGCAGCCTGTTATTTGCTTTTTGGTCTCTTAAGCAGGCACACACGTTTCTGGGGGGGTGGGGGCTCAATTAATTCAGCACAGAGAGATCGGATGGAGGGAACATGATGTTTCCCTCATTGGAAATGTAGATTGCATTTCAGAAAACAAAGCGGCCAAAAGCTGATCCCTCCCGGATGTCTGGCAGGGAGGAGGGAGGGTGAAAAGGCTGGAGAGGCTCACCTGCCAGTGCGGCCAAGTGGGGCAGGCAGAATCGGTTGGCCAGGGCAATTAATTCAAGGGGGTCCAAATCCTGGCTGCAGGACAGTTGCTTGGTGTACAGGTAATCCAGAACAGCTTGCATGGAAGTCTTAGTGATGTTGGGGAGAACAACCTGAAATGTTGGGGAAGGCATTTTTAAATGTTCAGAGCGAGAAATAATCCAGTCCAGGAGAAAGAAGGTTGTGCTATTTTTCACCTAGGTTGAAAGATGTCTAGAAAAAGAGGGTGGGGGGAAGGGAAGGAGTGGCAGAACCTGGGGACGGAGTTAAAAGAGGGATCAGCCTCCAAACTCTTGGTAGCCACAAGCGGACTTGCTCAAGGACTAAGACTTAGTTTGTTTGTGGCTACGTAGAGATTCTAGGCTAATCCTTCTTTTAATGCTGCCCCCAAATTCTGCCACTCCTTCCCCTACAGGAGGCTCCTTATTGCAAGGGAAGGGTCAGCCTACTCCCAAACTAAGAAAAGGGGAGGACAGAAGAGGACAAAACCTGTGGCTTTCCAGCCTCTGAAAACTGGGCTCAATCTTCATTCTGGGAGGGAAGGTGCAGATCGAGGCTCCCCATAAACTTGGAAATATACCGTATCCACCTTCAGAGCTAATTAAATCAGTATGTATGTACAGTGAGAGCATTTGCACCAAGACAAATTCCTTGTGTGTCCAATCATACTTGGCCAATAAAAAATTATATTCTATTCTATTATTCTTAAAAATATCTCATCTCAGACATGCAGCACATTGACTTAGGTCTATGGGAAACTACACAGGATTAAAATCTCCATTAAGATTGGACACCACCAAAATACAGGCACCCCTGACCGAATGCTATGATGCTCCCTCGTGAGTAACAGCTCTTCTTATGGAATTTGTACACACACACTCACACATACAAACATGTTCTGAAGCTTAAGGTTGGAGCTGTAGAAACAGTTCCCATTGTAAATTTGTGCTACAGCACACTTGCTATTTAGATGATTTACTAAGCCATTGCTCAAAGTCCTGATTCTCATTAATGAATCTCACTTTTGATGGAATGCATTATCACCAAAGGCAGCTTGTTCTACTACCAAATCTACAATTATTAGAATGAAAAATCTACCATCCCATCAGGAGGAGCCTTATATTAAATTAATACAGCCTTTTCGCTATCTTTCTTCTACATACAATTCTGCTTTCATGTGGTTGGAGTAAAATTGGTTCTTTGGCCTTGCAAAGTATCTTGGCAGCAATTCAGCCATATATTGCTTCATTGAGTCATCTTCGTCTTCTTCAAAAAATTTGCTTTATCAAGGCAATGCATTAATCAGGATTTCATCTTACAAGATGAAATCCAAGACATTAGCCTACATCTTACCCTCTCTGTGTTCTCTATGGTGAAATCATTTTCTAGAGACCATAGGAAAACCTATAGTTCTAAACTGGACATCCCAGATGTTGTACCATTTACAAATGTAAAATTTGTAAATTTTAATTTGTAAATGGCAAATTTGTAAATGGTAAATTTGCAAATGGCAAATGGAAAGCCATTTCCAAAACCAACTGTATATGTACAGGCTAGGTGAAACTTGGCTTAATGCCAGTAATTGTGAGAGGGATCATGGAGTCCTGGTGGACAATAATTTAAATATGAGCCAACAGTGTGCAGCAGCTGCCAAAAAAACCAGTGCAGTCCTAGGCTGCATTAACAGAAGGATAGAATCAGGTTCACATGAAGTTCTAGTACCACTTTACAAAGCCTTAGTAAGACCACACTTGGAATACTGCATCCAGTTCTGGTCACCACAATATAAAAAAGATGTTGAGAGACTCTGGAAAGAATGAAGAGAAGAGCAACAAAGATAACTTGGGGTTGGAGGTTAAAACATATGAAAAACAGTTGCAGGAATTAGGTATATCTAGTCTAATGAAAAGAAGGACTAGGGGTGACATAATAGCAGTGTTGCAATATTTGAGGGGCTCCTAAAAAGATGAAGGGAATCAATCTATTTTCCAAAACACCAGAAGGCAAGGCAAGAAACAATGGATGGAAATTAACCAAGGAGGGAAGCAATCTAGAACTAAGGAGAAATTTCCTAATGATGAGGGCAATCAACCAATGGAACAGCTTGCCTTCAGACGTTTTAGGTGCTCCATCACTGGAGGCTTTCAAAAAGAGACTAGACAATCATTTCTCTGAAATGGTATAAGGTCTCCTGCTCGAGCAGGGGGTTGGACTAGAAGACCTCCATGGTCCCTTCCAACTCTGTTATTCTATGTTTTATATCAGGGCTGTCAAACTCGCAGCTGCGGGCCGGATGTGTCATGTGCTGGCGATGGCCACACCCAGTTTAGCGAAGGAGAAAAAAGTTCCAATATGTCACATGATGCCACCATGACAACACAAATTTGATACCCCTGTTCTATATGATTGCTAAGAAAACGACACGGTTATGTCCATGCAGTAGACAGAGTTGACCTGAACTTCAAGGAGGCTGAGCTTCTATAGACAGAATAGATGAAGGTTGTCTATGAAAAGCTCTACACTAAAGCACCCAGTCTGGTGGGAGCTGATAGATACATTTCAAAATCTGAGATGCTCTCATGATGCCAAAATAAAATGGCTGTGCTAGAGGCAAACCTTGGCTGAAACAGTTCTCAGAGGAGAAGGAGAGAAGGAACTCTGGACATCTGCCTCAGATACCTGGTCATTCTATGCCAAATGCTCCCAGCTTTGCCTAAAGCACAGATAAGTCGTCTCATCAAAACACATCAGCTGAGCAACCTCTTTGGAAAATGGTGGCCTTCCTGCAGCTCTTCAACAGCAAAGGAAGCAATGCTTGAAAGCAAGTGATGGAACTTGAGGTTTCACGGAAGAAGAAAATCCACCACAGGAGGCAGCTGAACAACAAAACTCTCTTAGTAATTCGGTTTTGCTAAATGCTAAACTGCTATCCTTGATGGTTTGCATTCCTATGCCTTCTTCTCATTTTTGTGAGATTTGGCTGGCTCAGAGCTCAATTTGTGACTCAGTTCTAACTTATCTTCCTAATTCTCCCAACTTGATAGCTAAACTATGAGCAGCAAAACTCTGGCTTCCATCACTCACAATACATTTTATTAGAAAGCTGCAGCTTCAGGCAGGACAACAAAATCATTGTAAAGATGGGCAAGTCACCCATGAGTTCCCTTCAGCATGGAAGCCCCCTGCCAATATGTCATTTGTGCCTTGGAAAAGTGGAACCCTGGTCCCTTAGCTCCCTAAGTTCTCATCCACTGACCCTACAGCAATTTAAATAAAACCCTGGAGCTCTTGAGAAGTGCCCATAGAGGTGTCCAAGTGGCATAACTGAGCCCCCCCCCTGCTGATTTCTGCAAACAGAAGCATAACTGATTGTGAACCAGAAGCATAAGCATGGCCGATTGTGAAAAAACAGAGCAGGGTCAGATCTTGGATGAGAGGTAATCACAAAGTCCCCAAAATGAACAATGAAAAGAGCCTTCCTTTGTTTGTCATGTGTGCACAGACGCACATACCATATATCTACACATTAGGGATCTGTGTCAAATGTCCCTGCAAGAAAGGGGACTAAGCTGGATAATGATGAAGAATATGTAGGCACAATGTGCACACAAGGTCAAGGACTCTTCATTTTGGGGCTCTGCGTTAGCAATTTTCTGCCCTTAATATAAACACCATGGAGCTAAAAATAATTCAGAGATGCTTTCTGGGATGCTGATTATTTTTCAGCCCTTCTCAGTATTACCTTTCCTAGGACAACTGCTTTCAATAATTCTCCAATGTTCTTTTCACTTTGAAAGTCATGTTCTCCAAAGAATCAGTGCTTATGCTGAGGAATAGAGGAGAACAGAATGAAGCAAGAGCAGAAGCTCCCTCAAAACACATCAATGCATCAGGTTTTCAAGATTACCCATCCTTACTGCCCATCTTCCCTCCTAAATTAAACCGAGAAGGACAGGTTAAAGTCCAACAAGAGAAAGTATTGACAAAGGTCAATTCAGTTCATCAAGACTGGACTTATTCTTCAACGTCCCGTAGCTCATTGCTTCTGTTCTGTTGAGACAACTAGATCTTCTCCTACAAAAGAACCATATGTCCTCATCACAACAAATGCTTCATGGCTGATTGTGGAAAAACAGAGCAGGCTCAGATCTTGGATGAGATCACAAAGCAATCACAAAGTCCCTGAGTTACGTGTGCTTTGAGGCCAAACTCTTCTTCTCCAGGGTTTCTCCTCTGGTGGAGATGACCTCCGCACAAAGTTCTTGCATTACCCATGCAACTTCTCAAAGAACATTCTACTAGAACCAAGTATCCATGACAACCGCTTTATAAGACATACAAAGCCAGGGAGAACATGTAAAGTTGCCACTAGAGGAGGGTAAAGACCCACTATCTCAACAATGATTCAGGAGAGATTTCCTGCCTCCCCCCCCCCCTTTTTTTTTCTTTCTTTTTTGCTGCCTGTTACAGAGACTGAGCACAAATGCCTGAGTTATTGCTGCAGAATTTCAGAACAATAAATAAATTAGAAGGAGCTCATTATATTTATGTGGAACTGCCTCAGTCTTTACATGCTACTCACATCTTGAACTAGACTCTGCTCCTTCCATTCCCATCATTCTCCCCGAACAAGGCAGTGAAAGACAATGGGCACCAAGAGCTTCATGTGGTATGAAAAAAATAAGGCTTTGCAATTAATATTTAAGATTACCAAGAAGAATGCACGTTATTAGTGGTTATAATTAGGAACCAGACTGTGTGTATGTATATATAAATCTATCTATATATATATAATTTCTTGTTGTAGAGCACAGCTTACTGAATCAAAGTATGTATTTTTAATGAACCACCTGCTGGGGATGCCTCCAGAGAGGGAATTATGCTTACTGCTGTTTCAAAAGTAATGAGAATATATTTTTTTTAGTAGAACACAGCTTCCAGAATATTAAGTGTATAATGTGGGCCTGCCCCCCCCCTCTCTCTCCTCCTCCTCCTCCTCCTCCTCTCTCCCTCCCTCCCTCCCCCCTCTTTCCCCATGTGTTTGAGAGCTAGCATTGCTGGTCCGCATTATTTTCTCTTGATGGGCAGGAGAGTCCCCTTGACAATTAAGTGGAAAGTGAAGAAGGCAGTTAAAATATGAGGAATAATGAGAAGATCATTTCAGACGGCACTAAAAAATCATCAAAGCTGCTATCACTGTTCTTTGAGGTCATCAATACTGTGTCACCAGAAATGAGCATGGTGGCTTCTTTCCTTCTGCTCCTCGTCTTTCAGTGCTCCACCACCCCAAAATTTCATGTCAAGGTAGGAATTGCAAATTGTTCTCTTGGATGGCCTGGTGACCCACTGACCTTTCTAGCATTTCACATTCGCTGTTCCCATTTTACATGGCGTTTTGAAGCCCTACTAATTAGGCAGAATTGAATGAAGAAGAGGTTCACCATGGTGTTTGGCTTTTTCACTCATGGGACTGAGATCTGATGGGGGATGGAGACCAGCTTTTCCACCTCCAACCTCCCCATCCCACCAACTCCCGACAGTCAGGAGACAGGTACCTTCTGAGAACCAGTGCAGAAGACAGGCGGGAGAAGAGGAGTCCCCAAAGAGACATGGCCAAGGGATTCCCACGCCCTTCGAGTCCTTGCAACCCAAGGCAAGTTCCTTCTCCAGAGCAAAGCTTTGAGGGTACAGGCCAAAGGGGACAAATACCTCGCTGTTTGAGCTTTCCACAAAGGATCCTCCAAACATTGCAGACATCCATTCACAGCTACAGATTAGAAGTGGTTTATGAGCATTTATCTTTCCATCTTCCAACACAAATGTCACATCTGTTAAGGAATCAAAGGAACACAATAACAACCTGTGACTGCTGGTGCTTACAGCCAAATGTGAGAATCAGAAAGAACATGGAAGACAGCACACATGACCTGCTATTTCCCACAATTTCTGCAAAGAAGGTCCTTCATTGAGGACACCCGGAAGGGCAAACATTAATGTTTAAATGAGCAACAGAGCAATTAAACTCTAAGCCTCCGTCACAGGAACCACACCAGGGGTTCCTGCTTGCTGAGGTTATCAGGAGTTTCATTGGCAAAAATTAAAATAGGTCAAATTTATCAGTTTCATATGACATGTAAATGCCACAACATATTAGTAGTAGTATTGCTAATAATAATATTTATATTCTGATCTTGAGGTGGCTTAGATGGGGATTTCCCTTTGTTCCTGTCTGCAACCACAACCCTGTGAAGTAGGTTGAGTGGAGGGTGGCTGGTCCAAAATCACCCAGGGGACCTTCATGGACTTGAACCTTGTCTCCCCAGTCACAGTCCAAATTCCCCAACTGCGGGTTCTAATATTATTAGAGCTTCTTAACCTTAGTTGCAAAATTCCATATAGCCACTAGATGGCAGATGTACCTTGTATTTTCCATATGCTTTGGCTGCCACCTAGTGGAACTTTAATAATCCAGCTCTTCTGTAGCCCAAAATACCTGTCATTTAATTATCTTCCAATCTACACTCATATACTGTACTCCACTCAAACAGCTCCAAGTCACAGAATTAGTTGAAGAGAAAGACAGTTGAGCAGCTGTGTCACAGTAGAGAGACTCAGACCTAGCCCAGAACAGCTGGGAAGTTCTCCTGTCTGAAGAACTACTGCCCGAGACCCTCTTGAGTCAGATGAACCATAATTGTACTTAATAAAATGTCATTTCCCATGTACTGAAAGCTAAGGACTAGAGAGTTACACTGGTGTACAAACAGCCCATGTAAATGGTTGGAGGAGAACGCTTGCAACCCCACCACCCCCAAAAAAAGCTTGAATTGTAATTCTGGTGGTGGAAGAATAAAAGAGAGAGGAGAAGCAAAACTGGATGAAGATGACGCAAGAGAAGAAGGAACTGGACAGAAAAGAAAGGGAACCCCATTCAGTTATCACCAAAGGAGTTAAAATTCACCAGGACCCCAAGTACACCCCCCCCACCCAAGATGCCTTGGGGAGTTGACTGTCAAAGGCACCCACACCTCCTGGGCCAATAGAACCAGCAAGGAAGGAAAGCAGGAAGAGGCCTCCTATTTCTGCCCATCTCCCTGGGAAGTCTGACTTTTTCCCAGTGCTTGAACTGGGTCAGGCTGTCTTACAAGCAGACAGGAAGACCCACACTTGGATCTCTCTTTCAACAGCATCTGCATCTTTCCCCCAATTCTGGCTTCAAAGATGATTGGGCGGAGGAGCAGATTTGCCCTTTTGTGTAAAGATGTATTATGTTAGCATCAAGGAATACAGAATTACCTGTCGTAGGGCACATTTTTTGGCTGTGGGCACAAAGCTTCCCTTCCTGGACCCTTCAGAATGTCCCAATTGGATCTTGGTTTGCACACAACCATCCCAGGTGTTCTTATTAGCATTGGAACAAATGCAAGGTAGAGGGATATTTCCGTGCAGACTCACCAGAAAATGTCTCCTTACAGAGGCATTCTTTTATTCTGTTAGCCTTCCGGACATGGAAAGCCTTTGTAATTTCCTGGTTCATGAAGGCTTCCTTGTTGGTAATGTTTTCTACCATCATCCGCAAGTCAAACACTTCCAGGATCTCAGCAATCTGAGCTACCCGGGTGAGGTCCCTTTCATTTTCATCCAGCTGCCCGGTGTATAAAAACTGCAGGACGGTTTTAAAAGGTCCCGGTTGGATGGAGGTCTCCATCTTGACAACTGTCACTCCACAGACCCTCTTTGAAACAGGATTAATCTGCATCTCTTGATGTAGGCTAATGAAACCTTTGCCCCAGAGCGTTGGACCCTGTTTTGGGCAGGTGGCTTCTCCTGCTTCAGGCTCTACCTGGAGGCCCTCAGTCGAAGCAGAAGACGGTGCAGCTGCCCCTTCCGCTCCCTGGCCAACTGCTTCAAGGCTACAGGTTCTGGTCAGGAGAATACTACCTTCACTACAAAAGCTTTCAGTCGAGTCTGGCATTTCTTCACATTCCATTGAGAAAAGGTCATAAAACTTGGATGAAGAGGTAGCTAAGTAGAACTTGTGAGCAAAAATCTGAGTCTGTTCCTGAAGTATAAAGAGCACGTCTGCACACAAGGGATTGTCCAGTAAGTATCCCACATCATTAATCTTGAGGATGGGACACTCTGGGATCTTTATAAGAGGGGGAGGAGCCTTTGGAGGTAGAAATGGAGCTTGGAGCAAAGGCTTCTGGACTTTCTTCAAATGTGATTTCCAGAATTGCAAATGTCTCCTGGAAATCAGGGCTGCTCGGATTGCATTATCAAACACATCCTTGATGCCAAACTGATCAAAGACGCTGGTTTCATAATAGGGTATTCCAAGCTCTTTAGCAACTTCCCTGCCTCTTTCTGGTGGCAGGATGTCTCCCCTCTTGATAGGCCTGCAAACAAAATGAAAAAAAAGGTCAGACTCTGGTCAGACTCACTGAAAAGCACTAGTGGACTCCACCTATCAAGAGATACATTCCTGGGATCCTTTGGCCTTCATGCTTTCCCCTTCTGGATGCACCATGAAGACCACATGTGTTGTTGATGCCCAAAGTCCTCAAACATCTGAGAAGACTTCTTGCTTCTCTGAGAGACCCCTTCTCCAGCTATGGAATTGTTAATTCACTTGGTATTCGTTTTTTTTTTATCTTTATGTATTGTATTATAAATTGGAACAAAGAAATTGGACACATAAGGCCATTTCAAATGCTTCCTTAGGAGCCAAGATGTTGCCCTTTCTGCAAAGGTCCAGCATTGCCTTGCCACGGGAGAACAAAGTTTGATCTGCATTCAACTCTACCTTGCCAACGGCCTCCTGGCTCGATTGACAGCTTCCAGATCAGCATAGCGAAGATCCAGTTGGCAGCCCACCAAAATCACAGGGGTGCGAGGACAAAAGTGCTTGATCTCTTGACACCACATTGTCTTCACATGATTCAGAGAGTTAGGATTAGCAATGGAGAAGCACAACACCACAACGTCAGATCTGCAAAACAAAACAGTATTTGTTTTAAATAAACTTTATATCTCAATCGCTTTGTTCAAAAATGGGTGGAACGAAGGTATAATCAAGACTTGGTTTATTTAGAAGTACACCAGGATCGTGATGCTGAAGTGCATAAACATTGTCACAATTCTATGTTCCTCCACAACAACCAAAGACCTCTCTTAACCAACTCCCAAGTGGCATATCAGGGTAAAATGGGGCAGAATAAGAGCTCAAGGCTGCAGCAAGTAGTTCAGCTCCCCCTTCACCTGAGGTGGGTCAAAGACTAATTTGCAAGGAGAAGTTGGGCCAACCACTTAATACCTGCAAGGATCAAACAGGTCCTGAGATAAACCAAGGGGAATCTGTGAATAATGATTCTAGACAATTTCTGGAGGAAAATCCAGCACACCAAGGATCCCTTTAAGGTTGAGGGTCACAGGGGGGAAAAATAATAAATCTTACTCCCCCTTCCAACCCAAATTGTGACTCAGGCAATTAAGTTGTATTCCCCCAGCCGGAAGCTGCAACCAATCGTGTCTCTCCCTTCAGGTGTCTTTATGGAGACAAGTATTTACAAAGCAGCATTTTCCTTCTTTGGAAAGGAAGTCCCTCCCTTCCTAAACTGAGAAAATGGAATTGGGAAAAAGAATGTGATTTGGTCCTCCTCTCAATGCACAAGTTGACAACCAATGGCTTGGCTTTGTTTTGAAATGTTTGCTGGTGGTCCTCAAAATCCACCACACATGAATGTCCTCATTGTCCCCTGAAATCTAAGCCCAGGAGCATCATATCTGACTTTGGATGGGTCATCAGCCACTCCCTATTAGGATGACATTCTTGCTAGTCACCACCTACAGAAAAAGTGGGATGCTGTGTTTTCTGCATGGTTCCAAGCTGAAATGGCTGGATGGATCTTTTTGGCAATGGCATTTGTGGCTTTTGGCTAGCACTGCCCTTCCAGAGGAGGCACAGAGGGGTATGAGAGGGAGAGGGAGATTGGCAGGAGCTAAAGAGAGGACAGGACGAAGCTTTCTTGGAAGAAAAGTAGTGAGTTGGCCAGTGGACAATGGTGCCCTGAGCTTAATGGTGGTGCCTGCAGGGAGACAAGGTGCTGGAAAGATAAAGGAGGGGGATGCTTTTTATAAGTGCACCTCTCCCAAGATTGACAGGTGCTTTGCTGATTTGTAACATGAAGTCGCTTTGAGTCAATTCTTCTGACACTAAAATAATCCAGATTTCAATAAGATGAGAGTTGAAGAGTTCAGCAGTTCTACTCAAGTAATTATCCCCAAAGATCTCGTGCAGAGACGTCACAGGGAGACAGAAATAAGTCCTCTCCCAACCGCTTTGTTTCAGCAAATGCTGGGACGCTCCTGACTCTGTCCTCATATCTCAGCCCAACTGCTTAGTGACAACGTGTTTCGTTGTGTATCAGAAGGCGCCTCCAGGAGGAGAAGCAAGGATTCAAATAACCCTGCCAAATCAATAAGCGCTGAATTTTAAGCATGCAGATATTTGGCAAAGGGGCAATGCCCCTGCCATTTATTCTGCAACCTTTAGAAAAGGCATTTAAATGTTGTTTAAATATTTAACTGTATTTGTTAACCAAGGCTGGGAAGGCTGTTAAACCCGGCTGTTAAATGGCTTATTCCCCAGAAGGTACTATGAAGTCAGCAAGAGAAAGCCAGTGGTGAACATTCCTGAGCCTGTCTGTTCCACCAAAATCCTTCGTGTCTTTTATGACCTCTGCTACTCTTCCTGCTCCCCAAGAGACACAAAGTGATCAGCTGGAAGCAGCTGGAGGCCACATCTCCTTGCATCAAGAAGCCCCCTCCCTTTGTGTTCTGCCGTGCTTGTTGGGTTCTCAAGGACTGTGGCATCACTCCAGATAATTCCTTGCAGAGGCATCTCATTTTGGGGCTTCTCCCAAAACAACTCTTGGAAATAGGAAGCCAGAAATGTGTTACTGATGAGGGAGGTGATGCACACTCTGAACTCAATGGATTTCAGTTGCTTCTGAAAGGAAACCCACAAATGTTCCCAATTTCCCCTCCTACTTGATTCTCAACCTGTTGCTGTACAGATGTGTCAGACTTCAACTCCCAACTGGCACAGCAATCAGCCCTATTGCTTGGGAATTATGGGAGCTGAAGTCCAACAGCACTGTGTTGTGGAAGCCTGTTTAACCTTGTGTAGATTATAGCACCATCTAGAACAATGTAATCAATATTAAACCAAAAGTATTAATGTCAGTGAAGTTTCAGCAGCCGGAACATCTACTTTGGCACAAAGGCCTACGAGGCCGATCTGATCAGCCTTTGTGCTTCATCCTCTTCTGTGGCATATAACAAATCACTTTTGAGACCTGTGTAAAAAGAATTTCTGGATCTCAATTTCTGTTGCCAGGATTGATGTTAATGTATTAACATGCATGCAATTATGACATAAATGTGTTTCAAACTCATACACAAAGTCTGTTCTTTTTAGCAACTTTTAAATTAAAAAGGAACCAAAACAGAGAGAAAGTCTGAAGGGATTTCAATGAGTCTCAAATGGTTTGCAGGAATTTTAAGCTAGCGTTGACTTCCGGTCCTAAAAAGACTGCATCATCTAATGCATTTAGGATGATCAAATATTTTCCACTTGTACCAACATGGAATTTAGTTAATAACCCAGCTGGATCTTCCTCATTAGTCTGATCCCACTTTTCTAAAAGTTTCACCCTCTGCAGTCTTGAAAAATTTTGAAGATTGCAGTCTTCAAAACTCTCCCAATTCAGTAGTAACTCTTCTCTATGATCAGCAAATAAAAATAGTAAATGTAGTCATTAATATAATTATGTAATAGTTAATTTAATTATCCATTTAATAGGCTGTTTCTTCTTCACATTGTTTGTGGATGATCTATGAAATATAGAGTATTTTGTTCAGATTCATTACTCCAAATGTTAACCCATTAAAGATGTAATTATTCTCCTATTAGCTTGCTTGCTACAAAAGGGGCATCTAACTTAGACTGACCTTCCATAAGCAAAGCGTCGGTCTTTGTGGTGGTCTCCAAACGTGTCCCAGAGCCTGAGAGAAACACTCACTTCATCAACTACATCACGGGACCGTTCAAGAACCTGGAACAGAAAGAGACGTCTGTAAGATAAAGGTTTGTGGTGACAGAACTCCGGGGAGTGGGGGGTGGAAATGGGAGGTGATTCCCAAAAATTTGAGGCCAGCAAAGTTATAGTCAGGGATGGTAGAAGATGCCAACTTCTGGTTGGAGACCATCAGATATTCAATTCAGATAACCCACCAAATTTTGATTGGACAGGAGCCCAAAGCAAGAAATCATTGTGATCAGCTGCCAAAACCCAGCAAGTATGATTTGAAGTAACTATTGTGCTAATTATAGTCTGGTATAACACCTGAATGCTTGCCCAGGTCCGGGTTAGCGAAGGGGGAAAAAGTCCTGATACGTCATGTGACACTGCCGTGATGACACCCCTGCTCTAGAGGTTACTGTGCTATGCAGAAGAATTTATAAAGCTTAGAGGAAGCAGCCATGCAGAATTAAATCTTGGCTTTCGGATGCAATCTAAATTTTGGTGAGCAGCAGTCATGGTTTAATCTGGGGCTAAACTGACAGATTTCATGTATTTGTATATAACACAATTTCTTAACAAAAGATTTAAGCCTAGACAATCTAACTAAGCCTCCGATGAAATCAGTGCAACAAATGGTTAGTGAAGTGAACAATAATTATGCAACATTTTAATATATCCAGGTGGGACACAAAAGAAAAATGCATCATTAAAGCCTGGCATGAAGGTAATATGTGGTTGCAAAGTGTAGGATGGACGGCAGGCAGATTTAAGACTTAGAATGGAGTTTATGAAGACCAATAGTTATGAAAATCAGCTGGGGTAGAATAGTTATGAAAATCAGCTGTGGTAGAATTGCTGCACTATAACAGCTGCACAGAAAATGCAACCCTATACATTTTTAGATCACACAAGTCTTTACAAAACTTTTTTTGCAACAATTTGGGGGGAATTTCTTTGGACAGTTAACTGCAAAGGTGGGCAGTTAAAAAGATGGAAATGGGAGGATACGTTGGCCAGAAGATCTGAATCTTCAATAGTGCAGGTATGCAAGGATACGATGCACCTTCCACCAGGTAGCAATGACATAAGCATGCAAAGGTAGAAGGTAAGTACTTGAAGTATTTCCACATATATTCTCTAAGTACAGAAGAGCCTTCCTCTGGGCTGCTCTAATCTACCGTACTCCCTTCTCTGGAATTCCTTCCATTCAGCCCACTTTCTTCATCATCCTTTTTAGATGGGGGCTCAGAATTAAACACGTTTCTAAAGCCATACCTACCTCTTGGCAGACCCGATACTGATCAATTGCCCAGACTGTTGGGACGTGGGTTGACAGCAGCTGGTATTGGTTCAGGGTGGTGTTGCAGGCTCTTGCACAGATCAGGCGAGTTTTGCCTACCGCGTTATCCCCGACAACCACGCATTTGATGGTTTCAACATTTGGTCTTTCGTAGTCCATGTCAATATCCATCTATTGGGGGCTGCAAGAAGACCAGAACTCTGGTTACCACCTCAGACAAGCTTCTCACTTGGCTAGCTGCCTCTTTGACTTTTTGAAACCAGGATGGTGACTTATAAACCTCATAAACCAGTTCATAAACCAGGCAGGCCCATCCCTTCATTCAGTTTCCTATAAACACAAGCTTGCTTAGAGAAGAGAAAACAGGCTCGAGTACAGGTTACTGGCCGGACAGCAGAAGTCTCAGCCTGCAAGCTGCTTGACGCTTGAAGTTTCAATCATGTTTATACCAGTCCTCAGGAATATGCCTCCAAGGCAAAATCAAAAGGCGAAGTTAAAAAGTTACAAAACAAAACAGCTGCATATTACCAGAGAAAACAAATCAAGAGTCTTCATTAGCACAAGATTCTGAATAAGCCCCAAACTGGTGATTCAAAAAATAATCCAACATGCCTCTGAGTGATATAGAGCCCCCTTCCCACCAAGAGCTTTTCCTGGCCCAAGTCAAGCATTTTAGCTACAAGGCTGCAATGCTCTGAACTTGGGTCAATGAAAATTACGGTAATACGCAAATATAAAATCAGGAAGGTTCACCTCTAGTCTTTTGAAAGAGCAGAAAGAAACCAACGAAGATTCACCTCTATTTAAGATCAGGGGAAAATCCAATCGATTGTATTATGCAATACACTAATGTTAAAATTTTCTTAGACAGAAATACTTTTGGAAATATTTGATGGGTGTCTGAACAAATAACTTACAATTTATTTTCCTACACAGACAATCAATTTCAAAATTAAGTAACAGGTATAATTGCAGAGTTGATAAATTTCTGTTTTATTGGTGGTGTATAATCATATTTTTTCACTTATCAGAGATATGGAAAAAGCATTCCTCAAGTAGCTTTAAGCACTATTTTGCTCTTAGTATTTGCTGTGTCTCATCAAATATATTTTCTAAGGTACATATGAATGTTCTAAAAATCAATGGACTGTAATTTAAATTACATCTTACCTTTATTTGCCATGACTTTTGAGATACTGAACAGTTAAACATTACTGAACCAGTCAAGAAGAATGAAATGAAATTAAGGGTTTTGATCTATAATTAATTTTAGTCTCTGTTGGAGCAATATCTTTGCCTTAGCCTGACTCCACAGAAAAGTCGATGGGGAAACGCTGCTGAACATGATTTCCAGTGACTCTTTTGTGGAAGACTTAATCTTCTGCAATGTTCTCCAAACTGATGGGGTGCTAGACTATAAGTCTAAAATTCCTATTTCTGAAAGTTGTATCCCAAACATTTGGGAAACATCAAGTCATGGAAGGCTAATTTTTTACAAAACTCACACAAATATCAGGGAATGTTTAAGAGCCAAAGTACACTCCACAGCAGAAGAAAATAACCCTACAAGTCACATGGGCAGGACTGGGACTAACGTTATCTAGTAAGCTTATATTTGGGACATGCCATTTCAATCTGCAGATAGAGTTGTTGGGCTGCACTCCACCACACTTGAGAAATAATTAAGGCAGGTGAAAGGGTGGCTTATGACTCTTCATATGACAATGTTGTTATCAGTGAAGAAGGAGTTTGAACAAGGCAGTTGCAAAGCAAATTCACAATAGAGAACAATGATAACCAGATGGGAGTGGTGATTCAACCACACCAAATGCAAGATAACCCAGACTTTGCAGAGCACGAGAACAGCTGTTGACTGAGTTGACCGTCTGCCAAGAGAGCCTGGATGAGATCCAAGGTCAAGCATGTCAGAAAAAGATACAGTGTGTTGAACCTCTCTTTCCTTGAGAATGCATACAGACTCGCTGGCAGCTGCCAAGGAGAAATGTTTTCAAGAGACGTTTCAACAGGAGTATGGTGATTTTATTGACACAACTGTTGGAGTTTACATAAAGCTTAAACACCTTGTCATGTGGTAGGGGGTTTTTTGGTTGTTGTTTTTTAAGATCCAGACATAATCACATTTTGCAATTATATAGGAAAGCAACAACCCAGGACATTGCTGGAGAAAATTAATGGTATTTCCTGACTGACTTGCCACCAAGAGTTTTAAGAAAGCACAAAGAATTTATTCAAGTCCTATGTCGTGGCCAATCAACACAGGATAAATGTCAGGGAATTGTGCAGCCGGTGACCAAAAGAAGTCAGAAATGCTGACACACACTTGTCAGCATGTTTTATGTTTATATTTAGAGTAAATAAACAGCATCAACAGGTAAATCAACACTGCAGGAACATCATGAGGTAAATCACAGAGCAGACAGAGGTAAAAAAAGGCGGGAAACATGGAAACTCCCCCTTTATACCCACAGCAACCAATCACAGCTTAGATTGCCTCATGCAGGAGTTAGCTCTCAACAACCAATCAGCTATAACTGTATGTTCTGACTCATTACACACTTCACTATTTCAGCTATTCAGTTAAATATCTTAACTATAAATATTTCCTTTCTCTGGCAGGTCACATATCTAACAATAGGTCGTCCCTCAGTTGGGTGATTTCTGAGGCTCATCGACAATTCTCCTAGCAGACAATTGCTTCATATTAAAAGTTCGACCATGAAAATCTGACGAAGTTAGCTTCTACTTGCTTCAGTGGAAGAGTAATTCCACAGCACTTCTGAGCCTTAAGTTTCAGTCTAGTTCCATGCTAATATAGGCACAATCTTACCTGCATAAGAACACAACCCAGAGGAGAAATTCTGTGAAATTGTCCGACTTAGCCTTGTAAAGGTGTGCATGGGTATTCTACGCACATTTTGCTGGGAGTTGACTTGAAAAGCTTCTAGCAAGCTCTGCCCCAGAGATCACAATGGGAAACACCCACTTTGGAGGACTTTGCCCAAACAGTTTCAGAAGGTTTAACCCACAGAGCTTCTGGCTTGAGCTCTTAAAAGGGGGAACTCCCTACACAGTTATGTGTCTGGCTAGGGATCCACCTGCAACTCTTTGTTATCAGAGATTTGTTCACAAACACACCTTCCTTCCAGCATTGTTTCCTCGGGGAGCTAAGAGGCTGATGAAACTGGCCCTTATGATAAACTCCGTCCTTCGATGGTTTGGCTTCCCCTGGAAACTGGCATAAAGAAATTGCATGATCCAGACATGTCTGTCAACTCTCATAAACAAGGGACTATACGTGTCACAATGGCAACACCACAAAACTAAGCTTATTTTATATTGTACACCTATTGTTGAAGGGGACTGGTATTATCACACCTTCTTGGCTTTCATTTTCTCTTATTTTCACAGCTCAGGAACAAGGGGTGGGCACGCATGTTGGTGTTTTTTTTTTCAAGAGAGTGAAACTTGCATACATTCAGTATTACTGAGAGTCAGCGAGACCAGGAGGGGATGTGAAGAGAGTTACAAGTGCTCCTGTCCTGCCCCAAACCCTAGATATCCTCACAAAGGAAAAAAAAAACCATCTCTTTTGACAGAGGGTAGTTATCTTTTGAGCTCCTAATAGTTGGGAAATGATAACACTTTTGCAGTTACGTTTCCTTCTCCTGCAATATTTGGTCGCCTTAATTTCAAATGCACAGTAAATTGCCTTTAAAATTACATAAACTTTCTGGCTGATGTCAACCAATGAAAAACACAAAATATGACTTGAAAATAAGAAGACACTGAGGTTGTCGATCAGAAAGGTCAGCAGTTCGGTGGTTCGAATCCCTAGTACAGGTCTCCTGTGTGAGCAGGAGGTTGGACTAGATGACCTCCAAGGTCCCTTCCAACTCTGTTACTGATAACAAAAAAAAAGCACCTCTGTTTGGATGGCTCTTATTATTAACTGGAGCATATTATGAAAGTATAACACTTTTAACTCCTCACCTTTCCTTAGAAAACTGATATAGCATTCAGTGATGTAGAGGAAAAGGAGCTCATGATTAATAGCCATATGCCCAAGCAGAATCTGCATTCACACCCACAGAATGTATATTTATCTCTGGATTTTCTATTTTGAATTCTCAAAGGAGCTGACTTTCTGATTAAAACTCTAACAAGGAGCCAGACATCCAATGCAGAAACAGGCAACATACTCTCTGGTGTGCCTGGTTAATATCATCTCCCTCCCTCTCTCTCTCTCTTTTCTTGGACATTACTTCCTTTTATTGCATTCTTTATACCTGCACAGTTCATGCAGGGTTTCACCGGAGAGAGAAAAAGCAATGATAAAGCAGCCTGGTCTTCTGAAAGAAAGTCACCACAAAGAGGAGGAATAAGGCTGAACCGATGGATGAGTTAATTCAATCAACAGCCTAATCCTCCTTTCTTCTTTGTCACAAAGCCACATAATCTGACCAGGGAATGGAAAGCAGGGCCACCCAGGTGGAGTAGGGAGGGAATATTTAAGAGGAGGGTCTTCTTCCCATAAGACTTTAACTCCCATCCTTAAGAGACACCTGGATACCAGGCAGCATTTAGAGGCCTCCAACTACAGATGGTCCTTGACTTACAACCATTTGTTTAATGACTGAAATTACAATGTCACTGAAAAAGTGACTAACAACTGGTCCTTGCACTTATGACGGTCGCAATATCCTACAGTCAAATAATCAAAATTTGGGCGCTTGGCAGCCAGCCTGTATTCACAATGGCTGCAGCATCCTGGGGTCACATGATCACCATTTGGGACTTTCCCATCCCATCCAGCTTCTGACAATCAAAGTTGATTTTTTATGGCTTGAAACGAGTAACCTTATCAGTTCTTGCAAAGATACACAATCTTTTGGTCTGGTGAATTTTTTGAAACCTCAGCCTTAATTACCATGTGATTCACTTAAAAATTGCAGTGTGTCTCTTTAACAACATGGCAAAAAAAGGTTGTAATATTTGGTGTGATTCATTTAACAACTGCCTTACTTAGCAACAGAAATTGTGGTCATAACTCGAGTCTTGCTGTACAGAATGACAACTGGCAAAGGGAGGCAAATGGGGTTAATCATTATGCATTTGCGCTGTGCAATCACAGCATCAGTTGTGAAAACAGGCAGTCTGGATGCAGCCCAAATGCATAAAATATTTCAGGATTCCCCTCCTGCAGAAAGCATTCCAGAAAGTAAATAAATAAATGACATTGGGAAGAATAACTACATTCAAAGGCTGAGCTTTTAAAAAATTCACCAGGCCGAAAGATTGTGTGTCTTTGCCAGAACTGATAAGGTTACTCGTTTCAAGCAATAAAAAAAAAAAAAAACTTCAGAAAAGTAGCAGGTTGGATGGCAGATTGAAGGAGAATGATGGGAAATCATATGGATGCCTATTTGGGTCCCTTACAGTTGCGTCTCTGTGTTTCTGAACAAGCAATGCATAGATAAATAAATAAAACTCCCACAGTGATCTCAAAGTAATAGACGTGATACAACAAGGTGCTGAACCTACCTCACCCAAGACTGATATTAGTAAGGGAAGGAGACATTGCTATTAAAGATGTTGCTAGTAAAGTAAAGCCACAGTCTTCCCTGGGACCCAGAGAGCATCATATCCAGACCTTCACTCCTTTCTAAGGGAGGTGAGCATTCCTTCCCACATTCAAGCTTCACCTAATGGGTACACAGAGAGGAGGGTCCCCTGATGGTATGGTCGGTTTCAACTGGTCCATCCTTTGCCGCTTTCCCAACCTGGGAGAGCCTCCTTCCAGTCTTTCACACATGGGACTCTGGCCTGCCAATTACTCTAAAGAGGGCAGCTGCCAAGTTGCTAAGAGCCCAGCGAAGCAAAACTATCAAGTAACAAGAACCTCAAAAGACCTGCTCCGATTGCCTGCCAGCCACAATGGTCTTAATTCAAAGGCAGAAAGGTCTAAACCCAAACATCTGAAAGAATCTCTTCTCCATTATCATCTGTGGTGGAGACCAGTGGGAAGAGTCCTGCATAGGCCCCCATCTATCAGGGAAAGTTGCCCGGAAATAGAACTTCAGGGCCATGGCTGCAGTCATCTTCTTGGAAGTATGGTCACAGGGCAAAGTTTGAGCCAAGAGAAAAGCATGACTTGGAGGGTGGAATGTGCTTTCTTTGAACTGTTCACATTTTAAGGAACCAGTTCCAGGATTGCTATCTTGTCAAGCACAGCTTCTTTCAGTTGTTGGATGTTCACCATCTTTGATGGTATCAAGCCAGCATGTTCTTTGCTTGCCCCTTCTTGTTCCACTAATCTTTCTTGCATCACTGACTTCTCCAATGAACTTGCATGCATGCCGTGGCCAGAGTAAATCAGAGGTAGTCTTGTGATTTTGGCTTCTAGTGATGTTTTTCTGGTTATATACATTTACTATATAAATATATTTCTTAACCTGCTCTATTCTGTATAAATAAATCTCATATTTCATTATACTTGCCTCTACTAAGTCTATAAGTAATCCACTTATAAGTGGCAAGTTTAATCAGGTCCTCAATCCATTTATCTTTGAAGTACTGCAGTATTAGACTTTTACATTGCCTATTCGTCAGATTCCAAGTACTTGGTATGTATTATTTTCCTCTGAAAATGTTTTGTCGCACAGTTATATTTATATAACCCATACCTTCTATAGCAAGAGCATCAATGGATCTCAAATCACCACTTAGACACAAAAAATAATATTTATAATTTATTGAAGTCTGTTAATGTTTATATAGAAAAAGTTGTCAAAACCAGCATTGGATTAAGGATAATGCTTCTTTAAAATACATTTTTTTACAATGTCCTACACTTACCAAGTTTTGGGAGAAAGTGTTTGATTTTATAAATGATGATTTTAACTTCAGTGAAAATAGTAAGTAATGAATATCAAAAAAGTAAACATTGGATTCCTGAACAATATCAGTGGTGTTCATAATGGGAATTTTGTGCTCACTTCCTTCTGGAGAACAAGAGATATTCTTGCAGCTCTCACACATTTTCCTTTTGGTATCTGTTAATCCTGCACAATGGCAGCTTTTTCCTTACTTCGCTTTGAGAAAAACTGCTCAGAACAGCTGATGTTGCCAAACAGAGAGAGGTCCTTGCCTTGCACATCCTTGGCCTGGAAATCTCGCTCCATTTGTAAAATTCACAAAACCCCACCAGGCTCATTTCAAGGGAGGCTTTCACTGGAGCCCTTAGAGACCATCTAAGTCATCACTGCAAGGGTCAGTTCTACATGAAAGCCTTCTAAGAAAGTCTGCAGAAAATTTTCACACTCCTCGGTTGAGTCCAGCCGAGGGGGTCTGAAATGTGGGGAAACATTTCAAGTACCCCTTCTGCAGTTTCTTTTCAGTTCTTGAAAAGTGCTGCCAAAAAGCCTTCCGAAAAAGTCTTGCAACAGTTGGTGCCTGGTATATTGAGGTTGTTTGGAGCTACAGTAACCGTTCTTACAAAGACATGTTCCTTCTCATCTGCTGGTCAGGCAAGGTCTTTTCAGTGATGGCACCTTAACCTACGCGTACGTAGTCCCTGTTCAGTAAAGATTGTTACCAATACTTAAAAGTGCATGAAATTATCAGGCCAGGGAGAGTAACACAACATTAGTGAAAAACTAATATCTCTAAAATCCTAAGCAACATCCACAGACCGAACACAATTGCATAAAACAGTATTTTTAAAGGGTTAGAACTCACAAGATTATGAGAGTTTACAAAATTACAAGATTATCAAGTGGGATATTCAAAGATAGGATTTTTGTTCATTTAGCTTTTTAGCATTTTTGTGGGTGTTCAACATACTACCAACCCATTTCTTTGGTTGAATATTGAAACTGTGAAACTAGTAACTATTGTCACTATGCTTTTGTCCTTTTTCCTCAATTTTAATCAGATGGAATTTGAATCTCTATTTTGAGATCATCTGAGGAAAAGCAGCCAAAAGAACTTATAAATAAATAAATGCTGCCCCCATTCCAATATTTGGGTGAACCATATTTCCTTGGGGTGACATAAATCTGGGTTAGAAACATACTCCCATCCACGTCCCATGATTTGGGATCTGATGAGGCCACTGTATTGCGTAGGGCAAAAATATTTGAACCCTTTATGGGTTAAGATAACAGCGCATTACTTTTTAAAGTGTGTTTTGCTTATTTTGAAAAAAACCTGGCTCAGTTTTGAAAAGCTAAGCGGTCAAAAACTCCAACCCCCGAATCAGAAAGCAGAGGGGAAATTGTTGGCTTTGTCCCCTCTGGGATATTTGGGGTGGCCACAAGACATAGATGCAGGGACAGCAATGCTTATGGCTAGTGAGAGAGTGAGAGGGTGACCTTCACACCCTCAAAGCAACTCCCTCCCCCCATGCAACCTGCCCATGGACTATTGCAAAGTTTGAAAAATTGGCCCCAAAGATGCCATGAAGAAGGAAATGCCCTAGAAAAACTGTGTTTTAGGATCTCTTTATCAGCCCCACAAACAGCCTCTCTTCCTCATTGTCTGAGTGTGTATTTGATCCCTGCTGTAAATAGTTCCTCTCCCATATGAACGGGCTCCACAGTCCAATGTAAACATTCTTAAAACAGCTCAATCTGCCATGGAGGTCAATGGCCACTGGCTTAGACAAATACTCTGGCGTCCAGGGATATGCTACAGATATGAAAGCACACACAACTCCTAAGAGGTCTTGCCTTAAATTGTAAGATCTCCTCAGAGCTCAGATCCACTCCTTGGGATGTCACAGATAGTGTACAACTGTACGTGATTCTCTTGGCAACAGACTGGAAGAGATGTGCCGTGTCTTTCTTCCTGCCCTCAGCCTGAGACCTTTAGCCAAGAATTCACCAGGTCCAGCTCTGCTTAGTTTTCCAAGATCAGCCAAAGTTGGCAAAGGGCCAGCACAAGCTGAGCATCCAGGCATCACCATGGTTTTGGCTAAATTAATCTCCTGGCTGCCTAATTTTAACTGTCCCCAATAATCAGAAAAAGTGCAATAACCATGCCTTTCAGCACCGTAACAAGTTTAACTGACGCTAGGAGAAGAACAAATGTCTGGTGAGAATACCAAAAAAGGGCCAATTTAACCACTCAGGATTAATTTTAACCCAGGACAGATTTCTTCACAAAACACGCTAAATTAATTCTATCGGTTATATGTTGCAGGAAGACCTACAATCAGCCGCCTGACCCTTTCGATATATAAGTGCCCATGACTGAAGAAAACCCTCTCTGTTACTGATTGGAACATGTCCCAGACACTGATTGGCCAGCGAGGCAGAAGTGGGTGGGGCTTGCCCATCCCGCTGCCAATGGGAAAGGGCTAGTAATGCCCTGAAGCCTTTCCTGGGCATCATGACAGTTGGCATTTCCTAGAGCCCAGACTTCCACAGTTGATGCTTTTGACCCAGTTAAAGCCTCCTGGTAAAGAGACCTGGCAGAGTTAAGCGCTGTGCAGGAACCGGGTCTTCTAATTCAAGAACCCCCAATAACTGCTAAAACATCAGAGTTTTCAGGGGTCCTCCCTCATAGCTACTAGTAATTGCAAAACCGTTACCTGATTCTGCAATTGCAGATTGAAACAACATAGAAGAGGCAATAAGATTTAAAATAAGTTCATCTTCCTGCTTGGAGTTCACACGTAGAAGAGTTTTGCTCAGTTAGACCGACAAAGAAAGAAAAGTTAAAGCAAGGAATGTCAGGCTAAGCAAACCATCAGTCCTTGGGATTCAAAGGAGGCAAGCCAGGTATGTCACAAGGGTGCCCTGCAACGATGAATTATGCAAAGCCCCAGAACGGCTGCGGGCTGGGATCCAAACCTACCCGACCGTGCAAATGACCCAGATCCGCAGCTTCCCCTGCTTTCGGCTTTTTCCGAGCGGCCCCAGCCCGCCCACCCAGCCTCCAGCGCTACATGTCTGGCTGCCGTTCAACAGAACATCCAGGAACAGAAAACAGACCGCGGGAGCGCCTGTCAGTCACGGACGCCGTCCTGGCACCGCCGCCGGGCAGGGCGCAGCGGAACGGGGACCAGATGCGCCCCCGCTGCAAAGGGCTCTGCCCGCCTGGCCGGACCGGTCTCGCGCCGAGAGCCCCCGAGGCCGCCGGAAAGTTTCCTTGCTTCGGGAAAAGCTCCGCGGCGGGGAAAGCGCGCAGCGCCCCCGAGTTTGCTCAGAGCATCTCTCGGAAAGGAGCGGAGCATCCAACCAGCCGGGCAGCTCCGTCTCTCCCAAAGCGGCGCCCAGAAGCGCCAGCTCCGCACTTGGCTGCTGGGGCCGGGCCGGGCCACGAGGCTTTCGGCACCCACGCCAGTCCCGCGGGGCTCTTCTCGGCACCCGCCGCGCATTTGCAAGCGAGGGGCCGGGGACACCCGGACAATGGGCGCGCTTGCCGAAGGTCCCGGGGACGAGCGCCCGCCCCGCGCCCCAACTTTCTGCCCCGCGAATCGGGGGGCGACACGTGGCGGGCCCCTCCCGGGCACTCACCGGCACCGAGCGACCCTGGCAACCAGCGCGGCGGCCGTGCGTCTCGCAGCCGTCAGCTCTGCCGCCGGCCAGGCTGCATGGCGAGGAGCCCAGCCGCCCTTCCAGCCGCTCCTTCCGCAGCTGCTGCAGCAGCCAGGCGCTCCCTCGCTCGCTCGCCAGCCAACCGGCCGGCCAGCTCCTCCTCCTCCTCCTCCTCCTTCCCGCGGGCAGCTCAGCTCCGGAGCAGCTCCTCTCGAGGTGACGTCGCCGCCGCCGCCTCCTCGCGCTATTTATACCCCGGCCTGGCGGTTCATTGAGGCAAAAGAGGCAGTCCGGCTGTCCGGCCAGCCAGCGAGCGAGGCCCGGGCGTGGCGCTCGCTCCGCAGACCTTCAGCCGGCTGGAGGCCGCCCCTCCCGGGAGGCTCTGGCTGAAGGGCCGGGCGCACATCTGGAAGGCGGCAGCCAGGTTGGGCAACGCCGAGCCAGGAGGGACTTCTCCGAGCTCCTGCCTGACCCCCCTCCGTGTGACATCATCGCTGAGGTCGATTACGCGAAATTCACGGGGAGCCCCCCCTCCCCCCGTGAATGAATGAATGAATGAACGAATGAATGAATGGCCCTTAACCCAAGAGGACCAGTCGGCACCTTTTCTTCAAGAGCAGGAAGCTGCAGGTGCCACGGCAGATGCTATCCCAGCTCTAGCAATACATCAGAGGTGGCGCCTAGTTTCATCTAGACCTGCCCCACTGGTTTAGCACATACATGTGGGGGGAAAATCCAGCAAGTGAATCTGAATCCCATTCCTATTCCTATTTTATTGTATACCCACCCAGAGTCCCTCTGTGGGGGAGATGGGCAGTTTTTAAACATGATGATAGATAGATAGATAGATAGATAGATAGATAGATAGATAGATAGATAGATAGATATTTTCCTGCAACTCTTTGTTGGAAAAGGTCTGTATCCCACTATTAGAAGAGGAAAAAAAGGGCATTGATCCCTGACTTATTTTCTCCAAAGGCAGTTAGCATGAGAGTTTTTTCTAGAATATTTTTGTATTTTTCTGCTAATATGACTCTCAAAGCAGCTTGTGCAAATATCTGAAGAAGCAAAAATATCATATGTCTGTAAATTATCATACTGTAGACCAAAAACCGGGTGGCTATTAGTGCCTCCCTTTCTCTTCTCTTCTTCTCCACCCTTTCTAGACAGCCATCCTCAACACTGCCTGAAGAAGTATAATGTTTTCCAAGAAGTGACTTGGAATCACCAAAACACCTCAAAACATCAGGAAAGGAGCCTCCAGGTTGAGGGATCACAATTTTTAAAGTTTCAAGGGTAAACCTGGCAAGAAGCACCAAAGAAATAACTTTGGTGCCTTCCTCGTTAATTTTGATGCCGTTGTAGCTAACAGAGGTTCTTTTCTTAAAATATTTCAGATTTCTTTCTAATCTGAGATGAACCCTCTTTTTCCAAAATGATTTTCACTTTTATATGCAACTATAATTATTCTAGAGATGTGTTTCCTTTGCACAGGTGTTCATATTTGAGGGAGAACATAGGAGCTGTTGCAAATTCACAGAGAACATTAGTATGTACAAAAATCTTGGTGCCACATTTAAAACAATATCTGTCTAGACAGTGGCTGTTTTTCACTCACCAATCCTACTATTTTCCTGTAATCACAGATGCCTCTCAAAAGATAAGCATCCTACAACATGCAATTTACATGCAGTTACTCAGCATCTTGAAAATAAGGCATATTTTGTGTTCTGAGAACTACCTAGCTCTGGTTTTGTTCTGCCAGAGCTTGCCCATCTTCCTCACAGAGGGATATTTAAAATCAATGCTTCTCTCTGAAATGGAAGCTGAAAACTTAAGTGATGATCCTAGGAGATGCATCTCAAAATGAAGTAACTGCTGTGCACATGGCTAATATTGATCACAAGCGAGTTTAGTAAAAAGATTTTGGAGCCTGGAGACAATATCCTTGTGACAATTCACTTGAAACAATAGTGGACTACAAAACTGCATCTTATCAGGTGAAACTGATGTGTTTTGCATGTTAGGCCAACCCTGTAGATTGCTCTGCTCTTGCAACCAGCTAGGATCTTTCCAAACACCAGCAAAGACTTTCACCTTTTGTGAATTTATTTGGAATGGAGGGTGTGTGTGGCTTGGAAAATGGCATCTGTTCCACAGGCATCCCACTAGAGAAGCCTGCCACAAAAGTCAGGATGTAGTTTAAGGGAATCTTCTTCAAAATCCTTGTGATAGTTGTGGTACATCAAGCTGGTTTCCTCCAGATAATTAGACAACACCTTCTATTATTATGGTGAGGGATGTATGGAGGGGGGAGGGCAAGTAGAGGATCAAGATCTTTCAAAAAGCAGCCCAGGCATGTGCAGTGGTGTTCGATTAGGGAGAAAAAGAACCAGTACCATGCTGGAGATCTCTGGTCTCTCTCTTATTCACTGCTTCGCTTAAGTCACAGACTAAGCTTTAATGGACAGCAGTCTCAAGTATTTTACTGCAGAAGACTGGGTGGGTCTAAGCATGATAATTTCACGGTTCCTGTGTGAAAATGCCAGTTTTCATTGGTTTAAGTGAACCATGGATGTTATGAAAACAAGAGCCCTTGTAAATCCGAGCAGCAGCCAATGGGACGTGGTATGTTTGGTGGGAGGCTCTTCCTGGTTCCACATATTTTGGTAGATGATTACAAGGAAAGTACATTTTGGTAGAAACTGTAACAACTGAAGGTCTGAAAGTCTAATAGCAGGCATGCATTCTACAATGTCTCCAATGTTATATACTGTACATTATTGAATGAAGCTTTCTCTAGCACAGAATATCTGGAGAGTGGACTGCTCTCCTTATGGACTCAGGAAGCACCTAAAATTATTCAATGACTTTAGGGCGGGGCATTGGCTTCCAACCCCCCAAAGGTCAGGCCAAAATCCAATGTGGCCCAGAGAAGAGGAAAGAGATGCCTTTTATTTTGTCATCTTCAAAGGACTAAAATGGGCTGGATTAAATGGTAAAATCAAGGACATTTTAATCTAACCCCCATTAATCTTTGCAGGATGGCCTTGTCAAAAACAGTTTACTCTGCAAACAGACATAACAAAGATAACACAGCAGTAAAAGACAATCAGCTGGGTTTTTTGGAGGCCCACCCAAAGATCCTTTAAGTTGTATGGAGCTCCTTCCCTTTGCTGATTTCCCAGAGTTTTGGATGCAGTATTTTAATGTCCTGCGTGCTTATTTATCACGCAAAAGGTTTTCACGCGCAAAAAGAAACAAACAGAGGAAAAGCCTGATGTACTAATAAAATTGTGTGAATGGCAGTGGCCTTACTTAGGTTTGCAGGGTTCAAAAGTGCATTTTGGCTTCCAAAACATATCAGTATGAAACTTGTTTTCAGTCAAACTGACCTTGGAAACATTCTGAAGAATTGGAGTTTTTCCCTTACACATTCTTGAACTCAGGAAAAAAAACCTTGTGTGTATTACGTGTTGCCCTGATGCCCTGGCTTATCTCTCTGGATATTTGTTTTGCTCTTCTGGCCCCCTGAAGATGTCCATCCAGGGGTGGGCTGCTGGGGGTTCGCAGGGGTTCAGGAAAACCTCTAGCTAAGATTCTGTGCAGGTCAGAGAACCCCAAATCCCACTCCTGGCTGGCCCCGCCCACCCCAGCCCAGCCCTCCCAGGAGTACCCATGCGGTCCGTTTTGGTTGCAGGTAAGTACAGGGCATGCACGGAGGCTCAGGGAGAGCGAAAAATGGGCCTACTGGAAGTTCAAAGCCATTTCCGGCCTCCAGAGGGCCTCCGGAGCCTGGGGAGGCTGTTTTTGCCCTCCCGGAGGCTCGAGGAAAGCCTCCGGAGCCTGGGGAGGGCAAAAATGCCCCCCCCCCCGCCATGGTGCAGGAAGACAACTAGGCCACACTCACCATGGCCATGCCCACTCAGCAACCGGGCAGAGAACCCCTTGCTAAAAATTTTGAAGCCCACCCCTGTGTCCATCCCACCTCCTGAAGGCCAAGGAAGAAGCAGATCATTTTAATCCCACCTCATCATCTCAGTTAGGCAGGGAGTTCCTTTCTGTTGATTACAACACCAGGATCCATTTATCCATCCATCCATTCACCCATCCAATTTATAATCCTGCCCCCCCCGCCCATTTTATTTTTATCTTAATGTTTATTGGAATGTCCAGAGTTGGGCCCAAAGATAGGATGTAAATCTAATGAACAATGCAAATAAATAAAGATGAAAAACAAAGCTGAAATCAAGATGACATTTATACAGCCATGCAATTTGTTTAAAAAGTGGTTGACCAGTTTTCGTAATATTGCAATGTGAATCAGTGTTCTTGTTCTGAAGCTCCTCAGAGGTCAAAGCCACGTGAGAGAAAATGCTCTTTCAAGGCGCCCAGAATTTTCTCCTTGCAGATGAGATCCATATGGACTCCATATGAGAATCTTAGTCTACTAACCACCTGCTGGGGAAAGGAAAGTCTTATCTTCTTTTTTTTTCAAAAGTTCAAAGGATCCACAGATGGCCCTGTCACATGTATTTGTATGTACACACATTCAGTTCAGATAAGCAATCTACCGCAGGGGTGTCCAACCTTGGCCACTTTAAGACTTGTGGACTTCAACTCCCAGAGTTCCTCAGCCAGCTTTGCTAGCTGAGGAACTCTGGGAGTTGAAGTCCACAAGTCTTAAAGTGGCCAAGGTTGGAAACCCCTGACCTATGGAGTTGATGGACGTGCCCCCTAAACTCTACCTGTTCATTATTTTAATCCTCCGCGGAGTGGTCACCCTCTCAGCTGCTTTCTGTTTGTCTCCAAGGGATTGAGGGGGGTGGTCACATGTTTTGCAGGAAGCAGAAGCACAGCCTGATCCCTGCTCCTGCTTGGCTGGTTCTTTCCAGTCGTCAGTCATTAACTAAATGATTTGCTCTCTTGCCTTCGTTTAGAGCCCCTCCGGTTACCAGGAAGCCTCCCTGGCAATCAGGAAAACCCAACGTGGGCAGAGGAGGCCTCTGGGAGAGGGGAGTGTGGACTGGCAGCTGTGGCACCTGATGGTCAAGACCTCTCATTTGGGCACATAAGGAGGGAAGCTTTAAAAGCAGATTTTCTTCCTTTGTGTTTCTTTTTCAAGGAAGA